CTCACCTGTATATAGGCCCCCCCCCCAACCCCGGGCCAATTTTTTTCCCAAGGGCTTTTATTTGTTTATTTGAACAGACTTGGTAGACACCCATAAGAAGATGTTTCATGCTAAGTTCTAGCTCATTGGGTTTTTTAAAAGAAGATTTTTAAAGTTTTTACTATACACATATAGTTAAAAACAATGACACCCCTGGGGCAGAGCCAGTTTTGACCCCTGGGCTATATTTGAACAAACTTTGTAGATATTTACTTAAAGATGTTTCATGCTTAATATCTAAACTCTAGCTATTTGGTTTTTTTCAAAGAAGATTTTTAAGTTTTTGCTATACACATATAAGGAAAATCAATGACCCCCCCCCGGGCGGGGCCAGTTTTGACCCCAGGGCTTTTATTTGAACATTCTTGGTAGACACCCATTAGAACATGTTTCATGCTAAATATCTTAGCTCTAGCTCTTTGAGTTCTTTAAAAGAAGATTTTTTTAAGTTTTTACTATATGCATATAGGGAAAATCAATGACCCCCTGGGGCGGGGCCAATTTTGACCCCAGGGCTTTTATTTGACCAAACTTGGTAGACACTCATTAGAAGATGTTTCATGCTAAATATCTTAGCTTTAGCTCTTTGGGTTCTTTAAAAGAAGATTTTTTAAATTTTTACTATATGCATATAGGGGAAATCTATGACCCCCTGGGGCGGGGTCAATTTTGACCCCGGGGCTTTTATTTGAACAAACTTGGTAGACATTCACTAGAAGACGTTTCATGCCAAATATCTAAGCTCTAGCTCTTATGGTTCTTTAAAAGAAGATTTTTTAAGTTTTTACTCTATGCATATAGGGAAAATCAATGACCCCCCGGGGCGGGGCCAATTTTGACCCCAGGGCTTTAATTTGAACAAACTTGGTAGACACTCATTAGAAGATGTTTCATGCTTAATATCTTAGCTCTAGCTCTTTGGGTTCTTGAAAAGAAGATTTTATAAGTTTTTACTATATGCATATAGGGAAAATCAATGACCCCCCGGGGCGGTGCCAATTTTGACCCCAGGGCTTTTATTTCAACAAACTTGGTAGACACTCACTAGAAGATGTTTCATGCCAAATATCTTAGCTCTAGCTCTTTGGGTTCTTTAAAAAAAGATTTTTTAAGTTTTTACTATATGCATATAGGGAAAATCAATGACCCCCTGGGGCGGGGCCAATTTTGACCCCAGGGCTTTTATTTGAACAAACTTGGTAGACACTCACTAGAAGATGTTTTATGCCATATATCTAAGCTCTAGCTCTTAGGGTTGTTTAAAAGAAGATATTTAAAGATTCTTCTTTCGGTTGCTATGGCAACCAGAGTTCTGCATGGAATTAAATTCTTTGAACAATTTTTAAAGGTGACCACCAAAGGAACATTCCTGTGAAGTTTGGATGAAATTGGCTCAGTGGTTTATGAGGAGATGTCATTTAAAGCAAAAGTTTACGGACGGACGGACGGACGACGGACGGACGACGGACGGACGACGGACAGACGGACGCCGGACGAAAAGCGATCACAAAAGCTCACCCTGTCACTTTGTGACAGGTGAGCTAAAAAACGAAACATACTCTTAATAATGCTTGACAACAAATATGGGAGTACTTTATCTAAAAATATACCACTATACCATTAACAATACCGGTCTTTAAATTTCTAGCAAAAACCAACACTCATATTGCACATGTATGCTCAAAAAGCCTAATAAAGAAAAAATGTATAAATTTGTTCATGAAACAAAAACAATTTCTATATCTAATGTTCACAAAATATTCATTGGCTGCCATTAAGGGCTTGATAATTATACTCCTACAGCTATTTACAACATGTCAAACTTCGCAATGATATCAAATATAACAGAATTAAAAAATAACACTAATAAAACAAGTAAAAGTCATCTTCGAATGAGGATGTGTAAAAAGCTATACATGATTTATTAAGAAAAACGTGTAATAAATTCGCATATATCATCTTATACAAATATCAGCAAAAAATGGATTTCAAAAGTAGAAAAAAAATATAACAGATAGGTTTTAATATTCTTAATAGTATCATAAGATAAACACTGGAGCATAACTGGTTTGTTTGTGGTCACATGATACACAAAACTAAAGAGGCTGTTGGTCACATGATACACTAAGAGGATTTCTCATTGGTTATCCTGTGGTCACATGATAAAAACACTGGTTTGCTTGTGGTCACATGATAAATAAAGAGGATTTTTTCATTGGTTTGCTTGTGGTCACATGATAAATAAAGAGGATTTCTCATTGGTTTGCTTATGGTCACATGATAAATAAAAGAGGATTTCGCAATGGCTATCTTGTGGTCACATAATAAATAAAAGAGGATTTCTCACTGGTTTGCTTGTGGTCACATGATAAATAAAGAGGATTTTTTCATTGGTTTGCTTGTGGTCACATGATAAATAAAAGTGATTTCTCATTGGTTTGTTTGTGGTCACATGTTAAATAAAGAGGATTTCTCATTGGTTTGCTTGTGGTCACGTGATAAACAAAGGGTATTTTTCATTGGTTAGATGTTGTCAAATGATAATTAAACTGGAAACAATGATATCCTTTCAAAACAATGATTTTTATCATGACTTTTAAAGCAGCACGCCCCCAGATCCTTAAAAAAATAAAAAAATCGAGCATTTCAAATACATGTAGTTGAAATTTTGCCAAGGCTGCAAACAAAGTGGCTAAATCTATAATAGCTAATGTTAGATATTTACAATCCACAACAAGAGCCTGGTTTAAGCCGGGTGATGCTCCCCGAATAGGTTTTGGACACAGGAAAGTACACCTCTTGTAGTTTCAGAGTTATGTCCCTGGAAAAAGTTCAAAGTGCAATAATTTCAAAATTAGGCAAGGCAGAGTTACTATTCTTTGCACTGCACTTCTAATCAATGCAATCTATCAACCTACAAAGTTTCTTGTTGATACCTCTTATGGTTTCCGAGTTATGTCCCGGACAAAGTTCAAAATGTAAAAATGAACAAAGGGCAATAACTACAAAATTTGGCAAGGCAGAGTGCAAGTTCTTGTGCACTGCAGATCTACCCATTGGGATCTATCTTCCTACAAAGTTTCATGTTGATATCTCTTGTAGTTTTAGAGTTATTTCACGGACAAGATTTTTTTAAAGGGGAGATAATTAAAAAATTGGGCAAAATAGAGTTATGGTTCTTTGACACTGCACTCCCCCTCAATGCCCTCTACCACTGTATGAAGTTTAAACAAACAAGATATGTTTGTAGAACATGTATGCCCCCTATCAGCAGCCAATTAGTCATGTGATAAGGTTATTATGCATGACTTCTGACCAGGTGATCATACAATTAATAAGGGTTATCAAGTATCTACTGGTCATGACCTTAACCTTTGACCCCTTGACCCAAAACTCAATAGGGGTCATCTGCTGGTCACGACCAATCATCATACAAAGTTTGAAGTTCCTAGGCCTAAGTGTTTTTAGTTAAATGATCGGAAACCGTTTTAACATACAAGGTCAATGTGACCTTGACCTTTGACCCCTTGACCCCAAAATCAATAGGTTATCTGCTGGTCATGACCAATCACCATACCATGTTTGAAGTTCCTAGGCCAAAGGGTTCTAAAGTTATTGATTTGAAAGAATTTTTACCTAAAAGATCAATGTGACCTTGCCCTTTGCCCCTTTAACCCCAATATCAATAGGGGTCATCTACTGGTCATGACAAATCACCATACCAAGTTTGAAGTTCCTAGGCCTAAGGGTTCTTTAGTTATTAATCAGAAACCGTTTTTACCTAAGAGGTCAATGTGACCTTGACCTTTGACCCCTTGACCCCAAAATCAATAGGGGTCATCTACTGACCATGACCAATCACCATACCAAGTTTGAAGTCCTTAGGCCTAAGGGTTCTTTCGTTATTGATTAGAAACCGTTTTTACCTACAAAGTCAATGTGACCTTGACCTTTGACCCCTTAACCCCAAAATCAATAGGGGTCATCTGCTGGTCATGACCAATCACCATACCAAGTTTGAAGTTCCTAGGCCTAAGGGTTCTTTTGTTATTGATCAGAAACCGTTTCTACCCAAGAAGTCAATGTGACCTTGACCTTTGATCCCTTGACCCCAAAATCAATAGGGGTCATCTACTGATCATGACCAATCACCATACCAAGTTTGAAGTTCCTAGGCCTTAAACTTCTTTAGTTATTGATCGGAAACCTTTATTGCTTACAAGGTCAATGTAGCCTTGACCTTTGACCCCTTGACCCCAAAATCAATAGGGATCATCTACTGATCATGACCAATCACCATACCAAGTTTGAAGTTCCTAGGCTATTAGGTTCTTTAGTTATTGATCGGAAACCGTTTTTGCTTACAAGGTCAATGTGACCTTGACCTTTGACCCATTGACCCCAAAATCAATAGGGGTCATCTACTGATCATGACCAATCACCATACCAAGTTTGAAGTTCCTAGGCCTTAAGGTTCTTTAGTTATTGATCGGAAACCGTTTTTGCTTACAAGGTCAATGTGACCTTGACCTTTGACCCCTTGACCCCAAAATCAATAGGGGTCATCTACTGATCATGACCAATCACCATACCAAGTTTGAAGTTCCTAGGCCTTGAGGTTCTTTAGTTATTGATCGGAAACCGTTTTTGCTTACAAGGTCAATGTGACCTTGACCTTTGACCCCTTGACCCCAAAATCAATAGGGGTCATCTACTGGTCATGACCAATCACCATACCAAGTTTGAAGTTCCTAGGCCTAAGGGTTCTTTAGTTATCACTCGGAAACCATTTGGTCTACGGACCGACGGACCAACGGACCGACGGACCGACAAGTGCAAAGCAATATACCCCCTTTTCTTCGAAATGGGGGCATAATAATCTCCAAGGTTTTTTAAGTTATGGGTCGAACAAGACAACGGACGGACGGACGGACGGACAAGGTGGCGACTACATGTATATGCTCTCCCTTTGGGGAGCATAAAAATTACATGACATAATTCTGAATAACTTAACATAACCCCTAACTCCTAAGTAATGGGGTAGATGTATAGTGTTAAAGTAAATTAATACTTCGCAAATAAGAAATATATCCTCTAACAAGTTTGATTTTGTTAAACTTCGTTCGCTCACCCAGATGCATGAGGCTTTAACTTTTCTCACCCAAATGAAGAGATCTAAAGGTAATAATCTCTTCCAAAAGCTCGGTCTGAACATTTTATTATTCCCAGCAAAACTTTCAGTGTTTAAATAATAATATCATATAAAGTAAAATAATGCTCATGTAAAGATATATAACATGGACTTATAGTTGCTCAAAAGCATTGAGAATTTCTCTAAAAGTAAATACTAATAAATAAAAGAGCAAAAAGTCAATGTTCAAGAATATGGTAATGCTTTAAAAAAAAATAAACAAAAACAAATGTAAAATCTCCATTATAATCAAATAAATACAAGAAAATAATAATTTTAATGAAGTATTAATTACAACCCTTGAACCCTTTAAAAGATAATGATATTCAATAATATAGTAAATTTTTTAGAAAATGTTACAAAATGTTTTTAATAAAAAAAAGAAAAAAAAAAAAGAACAAAGAGTATATGAAGTTATTGCCAATAATATATTGTCACCTTAGTGCAATAACTGGTTAACTCCTATTAAATTTAGAAGGACTTAACGTGTTACTGCACTAAGGTGATGATACATACTTATTTGATGATATTTTTGCAGGTATACATGTTAATAAAGTAAATACCTCTTAAACTTTTAATATGTAAAAGAATGTTAGCAAGAAAAAAATCCAACTCAAATAGCTGATATTTTAAAGGGATTCCCTAATATACTGTCCAAAAAATTTAATAAACCTTGACCTTATTCTAAGCATCCACTATTCAACAGAATGGGATTGAATACCTAGTTTTCAATCAAGTCACCAGATCAAAAGTAAAGGACTGCAAGTGTTGCTTTGAATACAGTCTAAATGTCACATCAGAGATTTATATAACAGATCACCAAGGATATATCACAGATATATGGTTATATAACATAGATATCCATAATCAATTAGGAAAGGTGATTCATGGTCATATAACATATCTATGTATTCAAATAGCATATCATTATGATTATATAACAAAGCTCTGTGGCCATGTAAACTACATGCATTTCTGTGATCATATAACAGCTCTCATGGTTATATAACATTGCTACATTAGGTCATATAATAGTTTTATGGTCATATAACATGGCCTCATGGTTATATATCTCTGGGGGCCAAAAGTATCTTGGATTATAAGAAAGTTAAGTTATAATACTGCAAGTATGTTATATTGATTTATGTTGATTAATATTGATTTATATTGATTAACATTGATTAATATTGATCTATATTGGACAATTTCGATATATATGTATCTTATAAACATGTCTGTGGCTAACTAATGAATTCTATAATCTCCAATTCTAATTTATAACAGGAACTTTACAAACTTCGTATGAATACTTTAAACATGTTTTGGCCGTGTAAACAACTGTTTGTTAATGACTTCGGTTTTTTATGACTTACCTCCCTTTGTACTGGACAATTTAATTTGTCAAAAAATCGTCTATAACTAAAAATCTATCTAACAAAAAATAACTATTCAGTTCTAAGAAATCATTTGGTACAACTCTAGCTTGTACTAGCACTGACAATACCTCATTCTTATACAGCATATTCAGCTTTCTTTTATTTAAGAAGAATAAAACATCACAGAATGATACCCACTTATTAACACACTGTATCAAACATCAAAGCCAAAATAAAACAATTTGATCTATTTATCAAATTTATCAAAAGCATCCTTTTTGTAGCTCATCAAAGAATTGCCCAGCTATCTGTTAACATTTGACCAACATTCCATATAATGTACCTTCATGTACACAGAATATGTACACGTATATAAGGATATATCATGAAGATCCGGTTTGAGGTACCATTGAAAGACGGGACATCTTTGGTTCTATGTCTAACGAGGCTTTATATGTCTGCTCATCGTCGTACAGTCGTGTAGTGTCTAGTAAATAATTTGTTACCTATGTATAACAAATAAATACATGTACATACATAAATATGTGTGTAACATACACAATGTAAAAATGAAGAATTTGTAATGATGACTGAAAAAAATGTAAATTTAATTAAAATCATATATGCTCTGTTTTTAAAATCAAGTTTTAAAATCATGTTCATGGCTGAAAAACAATTATAATATCCAATACTTCTTTTTTAACCAAAAATAAACAGTACACAATTATTTTCAGTGTTCAAGCAACCCTCTAGTAAAATCAGAAAGGCAGTATATGTAAATTGATATGTTGTTGTATTTACATGTAATAGAAATGCTTTCATTTCCCATCTCAAATAAACTGATTGAAAAAAATATAAATGCCGTTCGTGACACACTGACATACATGTTGGAAAGACCATTTAGAAAATGTGGGAAAGTGACAACCTTATCAATGACTATTATGGGGGATAAACTGAATAAATAATTTTTAAAATTTTCAATTTTAGTTACAAAACAAGCCAAGCCGCGATAAAAATTGACTGATAATATATAGATTTTTGGGATATATCACTTAAGTCCTGCTGACTGGATTTACATGTAGCTTAAATGATATAATACATGTGCTTAGCTAAATAAACAATATATTCTAAAAGATTTATCTTTTCAATAAATAGTAAGACCACATCAGCAGGTGATTTTATAAAGTGAATGCTCATTCTGGACTGGGAATTTTTGTTTTGGTTTGGAACAAATATCTATATTTGACACGGGGAATTGATATGTTAGTATGTAATCCATGTAAAGGATATAAAACCTCCAGTCCTTGATTTAGTTATTGTTGCCTGGATGCCTACTATCAGTGTTTCATGGTAAATCATTAGGTAAACCTGTCACAAAAGTGTCAATATTTATAACAATTTAACCCTTAACCTTCTGAATAACTTAATAAGCTTGTCCAGCATCTATTTTATGGACTATATTGGGGACATCAAGTCAAGAAGAAAACATGGTCATTCAACAATATAAGTAAAAAGCCTGGTCAGATTGCATAGATGTGCAGGCTGGCCTGGCTGTATACTGGTGAGGAAGGATAATCATGTTTGGTTTCAGCAGGGTAAGGGGAGCCCACTGGGATAAGTGCATGTGAAAGAATGAGTGTCGGGACAGGGTGTCAAACCGAGAGTGACCTTCACTTCAATGTGTCTGAAGCATACAGTTTTAGTATCAGATCTCGTGTTAAATTACTATGTACATGTACTTACTCGAGGATGATGTTCTATGCGATATGGAGTTTGTTGAAATAATCGTATTTCTCTGATAACGTGAGCGATCTGTAACAAAATACATACCATAAAATATAAAACTTCAAGGTCATTAGATTCTACTACATAACAAGCAAATATATTGAATTGATATTCCCATCTGTAGGAAATAAATCACACAATTGAGGCTTATCACAATAGAAAATGAATTTTGTATCTTGTAAGAAAGCAACAAAATTGAGATGTCAAGCACATCCTATTGCGATACAATGACATTTTAGTATTATTATGACATATGAGTTTCACAACTTAAGTAACCAGTTGTAAAATGTTGCTTAAAAGAACAATGTTTTCTTAGTGCATTATTTCAAACACAAGTAGAAACATGGACCATCAATAAAATATCTGAACCACTTCCTCACATGAAAACATCTAGTCCCTGACACCAGGATTCAAACCCACAGAAATGTTGGGTACATGATTGGAAGTCAGAAACCTCAACCACTTAGCCAGATGGCCAAAACATACACTTTTATAGCAACTTTACTTTACCATTACTGGCTATATGGTATAATAATTTACCATTCTCATTTTAGAAAAGTTAACAAGATTGTCCTCTGTCATATCAGGTGTTCCTTCCTCAATGAAAGACAGGTCAGTGAGATACATTCCTAAATACGGAATACATGGAGGGTCACACCTGTAACATAAAAATAATATGAAATTAGGTGCTACATATGATGCGGAAAGCCCCTTATGATTTAATAGCAAGCATAAAATTTTCAATATGTAAACCAAAGCTTTCTTGGACACTGTAGATTATCTAAATGAGTGAATGCAGTATATTGTACAGTTACTAGTAACTATAGATATGAATGAATTCAGGTGGTATATATATCTCGTCTGCAATTTTTGTTAATCTCTAATCAGAGTTGTTGTTTTTATGTTTTTTTAAATGTGATTATTTATTAAAATGGGCATTAAAAAGTAACTTTTTATGTTAATCATTGTAACTTCAGTTCTTATCAATGATTATAATATTTATTTACAGATTTTCAACATCATACTTCTACTGGAAGTGTAGTTATGGTACAGAAGACGGCCACATCTTCTAGCAACAGTCTGAATTGTGTAGGCGCTTTTTTTACATGTTTTTTTTTTCAAAAGCATCCTGTAATCTAATTATAGCTCAAATATAGATCTAGTCCAAGTTTTTCAAAATGGCGGCAACATGCTGCCTATGACGGTACATTCATTGTAGCCTAAGAGCCGGGCAGAATCACCAAATTTCTGTTAGCTATAGATAGTTTTCTCCCATGAAAAACTTTAAATTAAGAACAAGGACAGGATTCTATATAACATGAAAATCAGACATGGATCAAGGAATTTTTTACCAGAAGGTGTCCCAAATTTTCAACAAGGTCAATTGAATGATAATTAAGCTGAACTATTCACATAATACATGTAGAAAATATATTAATTACCTATGTAAAGCATCCCTCATGTTTTTAAATCGGCCATCAGAAGATACGAGTGTCTGTAACCTCTCTATCATCTGTTTTGTCTGTAATGTAGCATAATAATACATTAGTTAATCAAAGTACTTAAAGTACTGGAGAGAAATTTTCGTAGACATTAATACTTTTTAGTTCTCAATTTAGAAATCATTTTGGCATGTCAAGATTAGACTCCTATATCTTATATCATTTGAAAAAAATATTATTCCTAATTCACAATGTTGAAGGTGTTGAAGAATGTCACAGAAGTTTTTTTCTGAACTGCCAGGGAAGTTCTTTAGTCTTCATGGTTTGAACGATTACATATTATGACTAAAAATCTGATTCCAATAATGTTTAGCCTGAGCTCACAGCAACTAAATATACTGATGTGACCAGTGTAGATCAAGATCAGCGGGCCCATGCTGTCTATCACGGTCAGTTTCGATCACTATTCAGTCTGTACATATTTTGAATTTTCCCCCCAAAAAAATGATCAATGTTTTAATTAAAAGATGGACAAGTCCATTTACTATATTTCAGCATGGAAAAGGGTGAAAAAATAATTATAAATCTCACAGTTTGAGATCCATTTAAACTTCACAATCAGACCGTGTAAAATATACATATACTCATTAGATAAAACATATTGTTTGACAGCAGATTATATCTTATCCTTTTAGATAACTTAAAAATGTACGATGATGTTCTGATAAAAAATTATAACTTACCTGTTTTGACAATTTTTCCCAGGTTTTCTTCAATCGATATACAGAGCTGTTAACAAATGCAGCACAGATTTGAAGAACCCCGTTATAGTTGTGCATACATCGACATATATCTGCTATTGCTGCCCATTTCTCTATACATGCTACACGTTCCTGTAGATTGGTTCTACTTACAATCTCTGTCACAACCAGTCGACTAACCTGAATAAATGAAAATAATTTGGTTAAATATACCAGTTTTAACCCATAACCTGATGAATTTACATTATGGACTAGTCTAGCTTCAATTTTTAGAACTGTCCATTATAAATTGTAGGGATATAGAAAATTTGATGTTAGTCATTCAAGAGTAGTATAGAGCGCGGTCAGATTGCAAGGATGTACAGACAGACCTGGTTTTATGCCGGTAACAAAGGCTTTCACCACTTTTGGTTCCATCTAGCAGTTTAAGGGTTAAAATCTAGCCTAGGATTCAGGCATTGATAGTTTTTGCTTATTCATAACATATTTTTTGATTATTCATAACATATTTTTTGATTATTCATAACATAATCACTATATCGTATTTGTTTGTGCTTTTGTTAACAGAAGCACATAAAAAAAACAGGCTAGTTACAATCTTGCCATCATATAGAAAAACGTGATTATTTAACTTTGTGACTCACAGGGTGAGGAAAATGTGAAGCCATGAAAGGGACTCAAACTTGGAATCCCTGGAATACCTTATCACTGTCTTTTCTGTCAAAGCTACCCATCTGCTTTCACAGATATATACCTTTATACTGGTACCCCTATTAGAGAGCATTTCTATACAATGCTTGCTTCAAGGTTTAAACAGATTTAATATCTGTGCTACAAAAATATTATCCAAATGAAATTCATTATCTTATTTAATATGCATTTTTATCTGCTATATATTTTAGAATGTATAGAATGGAAACAAACAAAAATTCTAAACCTCACTCATTTTTCATAGTGTGATATCAACTAATCTCATTGACATTTTTCAATATCTTATCAGAACATAATTTAAGTATATTTACCTCATTAAATCTCTTACTGACAAGAAGAACATGAGGAGCTTTGTTAGATTTGTCAGGCTTCATCCACGCTTGTCCAAGTAATTCTCTACATAAAACAAAAATATTTCATCAGTCAGATAATGTTAAAACAATGAAGTAAGGAAAAGTCTGGATAGAAAAGTACAATGCATTTTAAAAGTTCTTCTAATGAACATGACAAAATAACCAATGACAATTTTAATATATATTTATGAATAGATACAGTGTGATCCATTAGCGAATTACATGTATCCACACACATGGTTTTAGTTGGGTTATAAGTCACACCTACATTGTATAAAGGTCATATGGCAACTTTCAGGTTATGATATTTTTCAGGCATTAGGCAACTTTCCAGTCATATGGTGTTTTTTGGTTATATGGCAACTTTCCAGTCATATGGTGTTTTCAGTTATATGGCAACTTTCCAGTCATATGGTGTTTTCAGTTATATGGTAACTTTCCAGTCATATGGTGTTTTCAGTTATATGGTAAGCTTCCAGTCATATGGTGATTTCAGTTATATGGCAATTTTCCAGTCATATGGTATTTTTTTCTAGTTATATGGTAACTTTCCAGTCATATAGTTGTTTTCAGGCATTAGGCAACTTTCCGGTTATATAGTGATTTTTGGTTATATTGCAACTCTCTGGTCATGGAATTTTCCTAGTCATATGGTGACTTTCCAGTCATATGGTGTTTTTCTGGTCATATTGCCACATTCTAGCTTTAGTTGTTTAGGAAAAACATCAGGTGCCTCTGTGTGCCATATTACAGAAACAAGTGGGCAACCACTACCTGTCTTAATCAAATGTTTTGAATTCATTTATATCCTCATGACTTGTATCAAGTTTGTTAGAATTTCTACAAAAAAGAAGATGACATACTCGCTCCTGATAGATGTAAATATTTGATGATCAAGGAATGTCAACTGTTCAGATATGTCTAACGCTGATAAACTATCAAATGTGTCCTTTGAAGATGTCTAAAATATAATTATATTAATGAATAAGACATACTTTATCTTTTTAAAGCAATCAATTATATCAGTATTAAAAATTGAAAGTGAGCATAATTATAACATCTTGGCGAGCAAGTAAGTTTTGTGAAATTTAATTATTATTAACTGAAAGGTATGCTGTCTGAGGAAATATGAACATACTACATATTACCTCTGCTTGAGCAAGAAATTTTGTAAGATTTATTATTGAAAGATAAGCTGCCCCTAAATAATATCCTGATGAAAAAAAGCATACTACTTATGGGTGAGCAAGAAAATTTTGTGAGATTTATTATTTAAAGGTAAGCTGCCGCTATTTATTATCCTGAAGAAAAGAATGAACTAATTACCTCTGGGTGAGCAAGAAGTTTTGTGAGATCTATTTTAGGTTCTGTTGTTTCCTTGGTAAGAGTCCTCAGTATTGAAGCCGCAGCCTTGTGTTCAGCTGGTAACAGATTTGTATTACATACCATCTCCTCCAGAAAATCTATCACAGATACCTTCAGCTCATTGTCACAGTCAAAATCCTAAAATATCATGACACAGTCAAAATCCTAAAATATCATAGTGCATGTATTGTTACACAGTCAACATCCTAAAATATCATTGTTAATGTCTTGTTACATAGTCAAAATCCTAAAATATCATAGTGAATGTATTGTTACACAGTCAAAATCCTAAAATATCATAGTGAATGTATTGTTACACAGTCAAAACCCTAAAATATCATAGTGAATGTATTGTTACACAGTCAAAACCCTAAAATATCATAGTGCATGTATTGTTACACAGTCAAAACCCTAAATTATCATAGTGCATGTATTGTTACACAGTCAAAATCCTAAAATATCATGTAAATATATTGTTACACAGTCAAAATCCTAAAATATCATTGTTTATGTATTGTAATGAAGTCAAATTTGAAAAATACCATTGTCAATTTATTGTCACACAGTAAAATCCTAAAATACCATAGTCAATGTAATCAAAGTATTGTTATACACACAGAATCCTAAAATATCATTGTCAATTTATTGTTTCATGATTAAAATTCTAAAACATCATAAATGTATTGTTACACAGTCAAAATCCTAAAATACTAAATAAAAATACTGAAATATCATGACCATTGGTGATTCACCCATGAGGGTTCGCAGTAAGTCTGAAACATTTACACAAAACTAAAGACTGTAGGCCAGCCTTTCTGATGAAGGTCATTTTGACATTTAATCTACTACCCTAAAAACTAGGAGTCATTTAAACAAACCTACATAAAAAAATATAACAATACCTGGGAATGTTTGGAGACCCAGTGTTTAATTATGTTAAGAACTCTCATAGTTGCTGCTGTACTTATTACTGACTCTCTCTTCTTTAATAATCTCGAGTCTGTAGCACCTGATTAATATAACAAAATAATGGTTTACATAACAATAATTTTATTATATACTTGTAATAATGAAATATTGATGAAATAAAATGCATATTTCAATTTTCCGTATTTTCACTGTAAAAAATTATTTTTCACTGAAGTGCAATATATTTTCTAAATTCAGCCAATACATAAAATTTTAGGGGAAGTCTTCCAAATTGTAATGTTTAAAAAGAGAAAAAAGTATGTAATGAACAGAAAAGTTTTTCTATGTATATAGGATTTATTTTCATTTTGTAATATGAAAATTATCATATTTCACTTGTGGCCACCACCACTTATAAAATATTTATTTTCATTACTCGATGAAAATAAATTCTGTATATGAATATCCTCTATCTATTTTATACAATAAGACTTTTTTTCCCTAATGTTTCCATTTCACTTCTGATCAATGTTTGATTATAACATCTTTTGACTGTTTTTTGAAAAATTTACTTTAAAAGCAGGTTAACCAAATTTCTGACATGGGGCGCATGACAAAAACTTTACATTTTAAGAAAGGAAAATGAAATATAATTATAAAGATTTTAAAGAACAATAAAATACAGAACAGATTAGGCAATAAAATATCTAGAACCAATAGGGAAATGAAATATTATCAAGAATAGATACAGAAATGAAATATTATCAAGAATAGATAGGGAAATGAAATATGATCAAGAACAGATAGGGAACTGAAATATTATCAAGAACAGATAGGGAAATGAAACATTATCAAGGACAGATAGGGAAATGAAATATTATCAAGAATAGATAAGGAAATGAAATATTATCAAGAACAGATAGGGAAATTAATTATTATCAAGAATAGATAGGGAAATGAAATATTATCAAGAATAGATAGGGAAATGAAATATTATCAAGAATAGATAGGGAAATGAAATATTATCAAGAATAGATAGGGAAATGAAATATTATCAAGAATAGATAGAGAAATGAAATATTATCAAGAAAAGATATAGGAAAATAAAATATTATCAAGAAGTGATAGGGAAATGAAATATTATCAAGAATAGAAAGGGAAACAAAATATTATCAAGAACAGATAGGGAAATGACATATGACCAAGAATAGATAGGGAAAAGAAATGTTATCAGTGATTTTTTTCCCAATTTTCAAAACAACCTGTGGCTTTCTGAAGGGGAAAATATAGTGCAATAAATAAGAAAAGGGGGAATACCTGAAATCAAATTTCATCAACTGAAAATGGAATTTACCCACACAATTTAGTTTTATAAAAAAAAAATTAATATCAATTCAATTTAACATGCATGGTACATAGCAGAGGCTATCTATAGAGATAGCTTTCCATGGTTCTGGTAAGGAAGAGCACGAGGCATTTTAGGGGAAAATATTAGCAATTTTAGGGGAAAATATACCTATTTTGGGCTATGGGAAACAGCCTTTTTTCGGCTGTAAAATACAGCAAAAAAATCACTGGTTATCAAGAACAGATAGGGAAATGACAAATTATCAAGAACAAATAGGGAAATGAAAAATTATCAATAATAGATAGGGAAAAGAAATATTATCAAGATCAGAAAGGGAAATGACATTTTATCAAGAATAGATAGGGAAATGAAATATTATCAAGAACAGATAGGGAAATGAAATATTATCAAGAATAGATAGGGAAATGAAATATTATCAAGAATAGATAGGGAAATGAAATATTATCAAGAATAGATAAGGAAATGAAATATTATCAAGAATAGATAGGGAAATGAAATATTATCAAGAAGTGATAGGGAAATGAAATATTATCAAGAATAGAAAGGGAAACAAAATATTATCAAGAACAGATAGGGAAATGAAATATTATCAAGAAGTGATAGGGAAATGAAATATTATCAAGAATAGAAAGGGAAACAAAATATTATCAAGAACAGATAGGGAAATGAAATATTACCAGTGCCAGCACTGAGAAACCTCTGCACTCTAGCCGAGGACTGATCAGGGGAGTAAACTCCTGATCCAGCTGTCGCAGCAGCAAACGCGGCCGTAGCTGCTGATGAACTCGACCTGAAATAATAAAATCCGTAATTCATGACAACTAATTCATTGTTAACTCTAATTATGTTACTTAGTTTACATCATAATCTCTTGATAATTTAGCCTGTTTTTACCTGTAACCAGATTCAAAAGTGATATAATAGAAATAGAATATAAATTCTATCAGAAGATTTTTATTTTTCTTTTATCTTTAAGAACTTGATTTGAAGATTTAGAAATGGTAAGAGAATGGTAAATTGTTCATTAATAACTTATAGCTATAAAGGGATTTATGATATAGTCATATGCTAATTTAACAACTTTTTTCTCAAGAAGCATAAAAAACAACAGAATTTGAGAATATATTTGATTTAGTTTTTAGTCAAAACATACATTTATTTTATCTGGATAGTGATAAATAGATCTTGTTTGAATAATTCCTTGAAACCAGTACTGGTATGTCATGACCAAACAAGGGGGCTAGCCCAAAGTCGAACACTTGAGGACAGAATGGTAGTGGGTCAGAGGTTATAAATGTAATCTCTAAGCTCAACTTAGATCTCAGGTATTTGATTGGTCTGAAACTCTCATAGAATGTACACTGACCAATTAAAGTTTTTAAAGTTTTAAAGAGATTTGAGGCAGAACTCAGAAAAAAGTTCCAGGTGTCAAAAGCTGTAAGCTAATAATAATGCTTACCACAAAAATTTGAGTTCATAAAAGGCAAAACCCATGACCAAAAGAGTTGGAAACAATTATGAACCCAGGACAATTATTTGAACAATCATTATAAAGGTTACAATTACCAAATATCTTAGGTCTTAAGCCTCGAGGATTTTAAAGAAGAAGATTTTTCAAAGAACCCATGACGGCTAAGCAGGGTTGAATTTAAGCAACTTCGGTAGAGAACCTCTAAATAATGTTATATAGTTACATTCTGCCTTGTATTATCAGACAAGAAAGTTTCAAATTTGAATTTTTGAAACACCCCTTTTTTTGGCCCTGTGACCTATTTATGCAGTCAACCAACACCATTTAAGTTAACTTTGACAAGGGACAACCATTTAATGATCATTCCTGAGAAGTTTGGTCAATTTAATTCCAACAATCTGTTTCAAAGGATATGCTGTTTAACAAAACCATATACGACACAAAACCCACTCCATATGACAATGGACACATGGCCATCACAATAGCTCACTGTGAGCATGTTGTGCTCAGGTGAGCTAAAAATGCTGACTCGACATTAACTTAGATTAACTGACAGAGAACCTGCATAGCAACTCCGCATAAGTAAAAGCTAATAATTAGCAACTTAAATAAATAAATTCATTCATTCAATTTGCATAAAACTCATGCATTTGAATGTAACAAAAAACAAACCATGCTATCATTTGTCATTAACGCATATATTTAACTAAAATTATTCTGAGATCTGTAAAACAAAAACTTAATCAGAAGTGAAATACGTGTACTCTTTTAGTTTCAACTTATATTAGATGATATATACATTGTATAAAGATGAGGCCAGGGATTATATGAGTCAACCGATTACTTCTGTTTATAGTCATCAGTTATAAGACAGTTACTACAATGTCTCGTTCAGTTTTATCAACAAAATTAGTTATGGTACTTGGTCAGTATACATAATATATGTTTTGGTAAAAAAATATAAAAAATGTTTACTAATTTGGTAGAAAATGTTTAAGTGCCAGACAGTCTCAGCTTGTCAGCAAAACTGCCACACAGTTCTCCGAGCATTCTGGGTTTCAGACAGGCTGTATAATTTTTTCTCACACTCTAAAAAGGAGTCTCTATAAGATATATGGAATAACTTCAGCCAGCGTTAAGATATATGGAATAACTTCAGCCAGTGTTAAGATATATGGAATAACTTCAGCCAGCGTTAAGATATATGGAATAACTTCAGCCAGCAGTTAGATATATGGAATAACTTCAGCCAGCGTTAAGATATATGGAATAACTTTAACCAGCAGTTAGATATATGGAATAACTTCAGCCAGCGTTAAGATATATGGAATAACTTCAGCCAGTGTTAAGATATATGGAATAACTTCAGCCAGTGTTAAGATATATGGAATAACTTCAGCCAGCATTAAGATATATGGAATAACTTCAGCCAGCGTTAAGATATATGGAATAACTTTAGCCAGCAGTTAGATATATGGAATAACTTCAGCCAGTGTTAAGATATATGGTATAACTTTAGCCAGCGTTAAGATATATGGAATAACTTTGGCCAACCTAAAGATATATGGAATAACTTTAGCCAGCGTTAAGATATATGGAATAACTTTAGCCAGCATTAAGATACACGTATATGGAATAACTTTAGCCAGTGTTAATTTTTTTTTAAAGTGTTTTAACATAGATAAAGTGTGTTATTGTAAAACAACTTTTCCTAAGACTGGGGCCATTTAGAGCCTTACATGCATTTCTTATATAGCACTACAAACAAGTGTTTTAGCTATGTAGCTATCACGCTGAAATTATGTTTGATATTTTTGGGGTATACAATGTATTATGCTTTGGTATTTTATTCAAACAGATCAGTATATTTTTTTTAGTTTAAGACCTTTTGTAAGAGAACTCTTGCAATAATGTTTAGTGGTAAGATGTTGCATCTTATTACTGCATGGATTTCTGATAACAATGTATAAGCAAATCTCTTTGTGATTTGAAACATATAAAACATATAAACCAAAGAAAATTCATACCAGCAGATTCAGACTTGAATCAAGAACCTTCATTTTGTATGGCCACATTGCCTCTCTACTGAGCTACTGTCACTAACGGTATGTGACCATTTGTTAACTGTAGCTAGAAGATCTGAACTTAAAGTATGACAGTTGACAAGAAGCGCCGCAATGCGACGAAAACCAGGTTTTCAACGACCAAGTTTTGATGTGACAGCAATCAATAGGTCAAATTGCGCTGAAGTTAATGAGTGGAAGCTGAAAATTCTATTGTAAGCAAATGACCTTGACCTTGCTCACATATATCTAAGTGGCAGTCAAAAGCTGCCACACAGCAAGTTTGGTGAAGCAACATCAAGTTATAACGTGAAACTGAATTTCTTTTTTAAGCAACAGTGACCTTGACCTTGTTCACAGACACCTGGGTAGCAATCCCAAGTTGCCTCTTGATATAAGCTACCCACATACTAAATTTGGTGTCAATAGGTCTAAGCAAACTCAAGTTATTATGCAGAGACTGAATTTCTATTTTTAGCAACATTGACATTGACCTTGATCACAGACATCTGGGTAGCAATCCCAAGTTGCATCCTGATATAAGCTACCCACACACCAAATTTGCTGTCAATAGGTCACAACTAACTCAAGTTATTAAGCAAAAACTGAATTATTTTTAGCAATTAAGTGACCTTGACCTGAATCATAGTCACCTGGGTAGTTATCCCCAGTAGCCTCTTGATATAAGCTATCCATACACCAAGTTTGGTGTAAATAGGTCAAGTAAACACAAGTTATTGAGCAGAAACTGAATATCCTTTTTAGTAACAATGACCTTGAGCTTGATCACATACACCTGGGCAGCAATCCCAAGCTGCCTCTTGATATAAGCTACTTACAGACCAAGTTTGGTGTCAATAGGCCAAAGGAAACACAAATTATTGAGCAGAAACTGAATTTCTATTTTAAGTAACAGTGACCTTGACCTTGATCAAGGACACCTGGGTAGCAATCCCAAGCTGTCTCTTAATATAAGCTACCCATACATCAAGTTTGGTGTCAATATGCCACAGCAAACTCAAGTTATTGAGCGGAAACCAAAAGTTGATGCGCGCCCGCAGACGTCGGCATTACAATAACCAGTTCTCATTGAAAACCTAGTCAATAAGTTAATTCTAAGAATATAGATGAAAACTACCCAAATTGGATATAATATTCAAATAATATGTTCATAATTATAATGTATGCATAATTGACAGGTCTATAAAATTGGACTATACATGTATTAAATGAATCACAATGCTAATCTAGACCATCCACCAGTAGTTAGTCAGATATGAGATAAACTACAATATATTACAAAGAAGTGAAAATATATGTAAAGTAAATATATGTATATATATGATGATATAGATTTATCAAACTGCAAAATACAGAGACATGTACATTCTAGTTCTATACAGTAAACTTCACATATAGCGAACACGGTTATAGCGAAATTCCGGTTATAAGGAACAAAATATTTTGGCCCGAATTTTGCCCTTCTTTATTTAATGTAAAAAATTACGGTTACAGCGAACACGGTTATAAGGAATTATCGCTTATAAGGAACTAATTTTTTAGTCCCAATGCCATAAAAAGTACAGAAAATTACACTTTTATAACGAACTCCAGAATATCGGCTATCCGTTAACAGATCACGCATTTTCTTCTTTCGTTTTCATCGGCACAGATTCAAACTTGGCCGGATATATATTGAGAACAAATAATGACGATGACAGTCAATCTTCCGAAGACAAAATCTATTTAGATGATCTTCCGGTTGTGTCAAAAAAATGAAGCTATTGATTGTTTGCACAAGATTAGATCATACTTCGAGTCTAATGCACATGTTGAAGAAACAATTTTTAAAAGTTTATTGGATATTGGATTTAACCTGAAGAGTTGTAAACATTCCCAAACTAAAATTAGCGACTTCTTCAAAGCAAAATGATTATTTTTGTGCATGATACTGTATCGTTGATAAATAACAATATTGCATATATGGTACATATCATATAATTATCTTATAGATATATTTATACATAAAAATTATATTAAAAGAAACAACATTGCAATTATTCCTTTTTTCTTTATTGAATCAATATAAGGGAGAAAAGAATGACGAACCAAAGAGTTATTTCTCTTAAGTAAATGCTGTTCTAAATGGAGGACGATGGTAAACAATTAGTTTGTTATATGTAAAACTGTTCGCTATAAAAACTTCTGATACAAGGAACTAATTCGCTATATGCTTACAAAGAACTCCGGATATAAGGAACAGATTTTGAATGTCCCAATGAGTTCGTTATAAGCGGAGTTTACTGTATATAGTATGATCACTTTTCACATTCTTGTGAACTGAATTGTAGCAGAAAAAAGTGAAAAGTGATTGAAAGAAAGAATAAGAAAAGCTGTTTCAGAAATAGAATGCCTAAAATGAATATGAAACAGTTATAGTATAGCTTTTAGAGTAGTTTAAGTAAGCACAACCTTGCCTGTCATTTATGTTTTATTAACAGAACTAAGATTCAAACATACCAGAGATATGGAACTTGCCCTATAAAATTTGCTGTCATATATTTCGTATTTTTGTTGTTCACATATTGAGCAATAAAACTATTAAATTTTTTCTCTTTTCTTCACTTCTACCAATAATCTTATGATTTTGTCAAACACCCATCGATTTAAATGGTTTTTTAGTTGTCTTGAAAAAAATAAGTTATCGATCTTGAAAAAAAAAGAAAAAGGAACAGGACCACCAAAAAATGAGAAAAAAAACCCACCAACATTAAAACATTTAGCCAGAAAATTAAGTACTTAGGAATCTGTATTTAAAATAGACTATTCTAACATTTTCCCAACAATGTATGAAATATAGATCTATATATGATATATAGAAACCTTTACAGAATTGCCCTCTGTCTAGCAAGGACCTCTTTACAACAACCATTTTAATTTTTCCCAAACTAAGACTTCTCAGTAAGTTTAACCTGTACAGAACAACACCTCTGACCAACAACCAAAATCTTTGTCTTCCAAAGGGTGTTTCTATGTATAGGTTAACCTACTGTACAATCACGTCAATCAAACAGGGTGTTTCTATGTACAGGTTTACCTACTGTACAATCACGTAAATCAAACAGGGTGTTTCTATGTACAGGTTAACCTACTGTACAATCACGTCAATCAAACAAGTTAAAAGAACACTATTAAACTTCTATATACACAAGAGTCCGGTTTGAACCGGGTGATGCTCCCCAAATAGGTTTTTTACACAGGAAAATACACCTCTTGTAGTTTCAGAGTTATGTCCCTGAACAAAATTCAAAGTGCAATAATTCCTGAATAAGGCAAGGCAGATTTACTTTTCTGAGCACTGGACTTCTAATCAATGAGATCTATCTACCTGCAAAGTTTCATGTTGATATCTCTTATAATATTAGAGTTATGTTCCGGACAAAGTTCAAAGTGTAAAAATGAACAAAGGGCAATAACTCCAAATTTAGGCAAGGCAAAGTTTACCGTTCTTGTGCACTGCACATCTACCCATTGAGATCTATCTATCTACCTACAAAGTTTCATGTTGATATCTCTTATAGTTTTAGAGTTATGTCTCAGAAAAAAATTTTCTTAAAGGGGAGATAATTGAAAAATGGGCAAAAAAGAGTTATCGTTCTTTGACACTGCACTCTGCCTCAATGCCCTCTACCACCGTGTGAAGTTTAAACAAATATCTCCAAGGGTTTTCAAGTTATGCTCCGGACAAGACAAAAGACAGACAGACAGAAGGACAGACGGACAAGGTGGCAACTATATGCTCTCTCTCCGGGGAGCATAAAAAAAGTGATCTGACTAGTATATACAGTTAATATCACATGTGCCAGTGTGTTTGTGACCAGTAGAAAGCAGAGTGAAGTGGTCACTAACTTGATAACTAGCTATTAATTAGACCACACTATATATGTATAGTTAGTGTACATGTATATAACTAAGGTGACCACACAAGAAAGAAGTCTACAGCTAGCTAGTGTTTCTATTTTTAGACTACCTAGGCCGTGTGAAATGGCAATGTAAATCTTTAACTTGACTTAGTGACATCTCCCTGGAACAAACAACACTTAATAACTTAATGCTGACACATATGTTATGCACTTAATAACTTTATTCTGACACATATGTGATACATTTAATAACATAATAATGACACATATATGATACACATAATAACCTAATACCGACACATATGTGAAACACTTAATAACTTAATTCTGACACATATGTGATAGACTTAATAACTTAATTCTGACAAATATGTGATACACTAGTACATCATTGCTACAGGATGCTGTAAAAAACATAATAACCCTAGATACTAGAGGTAATATGGGAATTTTGAATCACTATAGTAATAAAATCCATGTGATGTTATAATTTAAGGAAAAGTGAATTAACCAGTGTGATTTAAAAATCATGTGATGTTATTATTTAGGTCAAAGGGAATTAACCAGTGTGATTTAAAAATCATGGAATGTTATTATTTAGGCCAAAGGGAATTGACCAGTGTGATTAAACCCATGCGATGTTGTTATTTAGGCAAAAGGGGATTAAGCAGTGTGATTAACATCATGTGATGTTATAATTTAGGCAAAAAGAAATTAAGCAGAGTGATTAAACCCATACGATGTTGTAATTTAGGACAAAGGAAATTAAGCAGAGTGATTAAACCCATACGATGTTGTAATTTAGGCAAAAGGGAATTAAGCAGAGTGATTTAACCCATATGATGTTGTAATTTAGGCAAAAGGAAATTAAGCAGAGTGATTAAACCCATATGATGTTGTAATTTAGGCAAAAGGGAATTAAGCAGTGTGATTAACATCATGTGATGTTATAATTTAGGCAAAAGGAAATTAAGCAGAGTGATTAAACCCATACGATGTTGTAATTTAGGCAAAAGGAAATTAAGCAGAGTGATTAAACCCATACGATGTTGTAATTTAGGCCAAAGGAAATTAAGCAGAGTGATTAAACCCATACGATGTTGTAATTTAGGCAAAAGGAAATTAAGCAGAGTGATTAAACCCATACGATGTTGTAATTTAGGCAAAAGGAAATTAAGCAGAGTGATTAAACCCATATGATGTTGTAATTTAGGCAAAAGGGAATTAAGCAGTGTGATTAACATCATGTGATGTTATAATTTAGGCAAAAGGAAATTAAGCAGAGTGATTAAACCCATACGATGTTGTAATTTAGGCAAAAGGGAATTAAGCAGAGTGATTAAAACCATATGATGTTGTAATTTAGGCAAAATGGGATTAAGAAGAGTGATTAAAACCATGTGACATTGTAATTTAGGCAAAAGGGAATTAACCAGTGTGATTTAAACCATGTGATGTTGTAATTTAGGCAAAAGGGAATTCACCAGATTGATTAAAATCATGTGATACTATAAACTCTTTGGGTGAAAAGGGCAAGTGGAATTTATAAAGAAATAAAAGCCATGTGATGTTATAAATAATTTAGGCAAAAGGGTAAGTCATAAATCTATAGGGATTACAACCATATAATGTCGGGGGAAAAAGACAAAGGGAATTCATAAATCACCAGAGCGATTAAAGCAATGTGATGCTATAAGTCATTTGGGTAAAAGGGACAAGTAATTCATAAATCACCAGGGTCATTAATGCCACGTGATGTAATAAATCATTTGAACAAAAGGTAGGAGGAGAATTAATGAATCATCACAGTGATAAAAATCCTGTGTTGTTATGAAACATTTGGGAAAAATAGAAAAGTGGGAAAATAATAAATCCCAATATTGATCAAGCCATGGGATGTGATGAATTTAGGCAAAATGGATTAGGAGAAGTCTAACAAGATAAAAGTCATATAAAGTTATAAACCATTTGGGGGTAAATCCATACAGTGATAGAAAAACATGTGATGATTTAAATCCTTAAGGCAAAATCCATTAGGCAAAGGGGACCAAAAAAGACTCATTTTTTTCACCACACAGCAATCATAAAAGCCATTTGAAATCATCAATAATTTTGGCAAAAGGGACAAGGGGAAATAATAAATAATCACAGAGATAAAGGTCATGAATGTGATAGATCATTTGGGTGAGAGGGTCATTAACATGGGATTAGTGAATCATTTTAGAGTAATTAAAAAGCCTCCAGATGATTGAAAATCATTTGTGAAAAATATATGGGCAATAGTAAGTTATAACTGAATAAAAATAGTATTTCTCTACAGGATGGTGACAGTAAATATAATGGCAATATAATCTATGAAAAAGTATAAAAAGGAAAACTAATTAAATAACTTAGATTTACAACTAAATAATTATGTTGAATGAGCAGTTGAAATAAAAATTAAAATTGAAACAAAAAATTGTATTTTCTTCATTATAAAACAGTTATAAGTTGTAAGGTAAAAAACGTACCTTCGTTTAGATGCTCGAGATGATGTCACTACGGCACCTGCACGTGCTTGAGGAGGAGAACCATCTGTATGTGTGGCAAAGCTACTTCTCGGAGTTATAGATGTAGATGTATCAGAGTCTGAACTGACTGTAATGTAAAAATAACCAATCATCATGACCCTAAACTTCTATAAATATCTAATTACTTTAATCACTTTTAATGTTTGTTTATTTTATTGGGTTTTACATCACACTGACACAGTACACGACATATGGTGACTTTTCAGCTTTACTAGTGGAGGAAGACCTAAGGTGCCCTTTAGTGCATTTTTTCAGGCACAAACAGGCACCTGAGTAGAACCATTGATGTTCCTAAGCTAGCTGGATAGCTTCCTCACATGAAAGAATCCAAAGTCCTTGTTGGGATTTGAATCCACAGTAGTGAGGGGCAATTGGTTTGAAGTGAAAGACCCTAACCACTCAGCCACGGACCATCCAATTATTTTTAATGCATTTCATTAATATATATACAGTTGTTAAATACATAACAGAAAGATACAAATTAGTTTGATTAGGAGGAGAATAGTAGCCTAGTGGAAAAGATGTCTGCCTCTATAGCCATCTATCCCCGGTTCGAACCCTACCTAGGTTACAATTAAAATTTCTTTTCTCATATGAAACCTAAGTACTGGCCTGAAGGTTATATAACCTTTTTTCTGTGTTCTGCCTCCAGTCTCAGAACTTCCATTGGTCAGTGTATTCTTTTATTTTGGTTTCTGACCAAACAAATACCCAAGATCTGAGTTTGAGCTTAAAACCTCGGACCCAGATTAATCCAGAAAGATAACTCGAAAGTGGTTCTAATACTCACAATCATGATAAAATAAATACTGTTTTACTTTACGAGTAAATCAGAAAGAGGACAAATTGATATTTTACAGTACTTACAATGTTTAACTTTGATTTGTGGTGCTACTATGTTAGGTGATGAGTAACTATAACTGATAGGTGAGGGGGCCCGTCTCAGTTTGGGACTAGTACTAGGTGACCTAGCTGAATGTTTAGGCGAGGTAGATCGTATTATGGGAGATGGAATTCTCACAGGTGAAGATGATTTCTTTGGCTTGCCAAGTCGCAGAGGAGATGTTGTTGACGATGAAAACAAGTCTGTTGAATATTTTTCCGGCATTTTAACAGGTGTTGAAGGCCTTCGGGGACTTGTCTCCCCGCTTTTTGGAGTCAAAGGTTGTGGTAATGAGCGTCGTGGGCTGCCTAGTGGGCTGGTTGCTGGACTAGGTCGTGGCGTTCCGGGTGTTAACGTTTCCGAACTGGGAACAGAATGTAGGCCGTACACGTGTGAATCTAACGATTCAGAAACACTCAGAGATAATCCGGTGCAAACGTCTGGCATAAGATATTTATTGTTCAACAGATAAAAATCGTCTGTTGATGATTCACCGAAATCCGACGGAAGCATAACAACCTCCGACAGAGAAGGATCCATTTTTATTGCAGGTATATCAGGGATTTCAGAGTCACACAGAGTCTCACATGTTGCTATTGGGGCTTGTTTAGGGGGATCTAGAAAACTGTCAAGTTCACTTGGACTGTCGTCACTGTCCATGGAATCTTCTCGTTTCAAAGCTGAAAAAGTAAAGTGTATATAAGAAATTAGCAGACGACATTGAAATAACATTGTAAATGACAACCAAGTCTCTAGTCTGACAGTTACATTTTGACTGTATGTGTTCACATGTGTCCCTAATCAATAATGCCAGCATTTTAATAATGTCACTATACAATGATGTCAATATTCAAAGATGTCACTATTATTCAAAGATATTCCTACTCAATACTGTCATAACACAATGAGGTTACTACACAATAATATCAGAATTTAAGATACACCTTCAATATAAATACTTACACACTTTTTGATAATCATTAAACCAGCTGCATTTAATTTTACATTCACATTCAACAGATTTGTGTCTCTACAAGTTTTCTGGTGTGATTATTTTCAACTTTTCATACTTCCCCGTTCATTGTCTATACTGTTTTGCTAGATTCTTTACTTCTGCATTAGTAATGATGTAGATTATATACATATTCCTTCAGTTTTGTTCAAATTTTCTTAACATATTTCACAGATGACATTTTATAAAGAAGAATAACGTAATGGGGCTACTTTGTGTGATCTGTATCACTCTCTATGTTGTGTAAGGTACCGGTAGTATTCACACTTAATTTATATGAATTTATTTTAGTTCATTTGTATTGAAAGCTATAAGCTATATTGAAACACTCTCGAATCTGTTCCTAAAATCAACCAGTACTGAGCAATGAGAGCAAAGTTTCTTGTTCATAGAAACACAGCCAAATCAAGCATCAAACAACACATCAGGAAAGCAATCATAAAATATTCCTTATATATGATAAATATTGTGAATTACGTAATTTGATAACCTCACAAAAGATTCAATATCCTTCTGTCTCATTCAAAACATAGTACATACTATCCACTTACTTTTTAAAAAATCAACATGTTTAGTAGTTGTGCTTGTTCGTTGTGTAGGAAGGGCCGATGTCTCATCATTCGAGACACTGCTCATCATCTCTACCTTCATACAACCTGTGCTTATTCGTCGTATCCGATCTAAGTTCTCGACACGTGGCTTTATTACATTTTTATTATCCTCACTTGGCGGGTCCTTTGTAAACTGTTGCAAAGCACTTCCAAGTAATTCAGCATTCAGAACAGTTCTAGAAATATCAAATCATATATATATTGTTTGTTATAATACTGCACATTTGTAATGTCACTTTCCATTGGATAATTGTGATGTTTATATAGTTTTATATACATGGCTGCTGTCGGTTTATGAAGAATTCTTACCTTTTTCTCTCTTAAAAATGATGCTTGCTTAATTATAAATTCGTTACCATTATATGGCCATATATATAAACAGCTGTTTGCGATATAACTCTCGTCTAGCAGCTCAGGTTATATTTCCAAACAACCTTTTATATAGGACCTTATAACCTGTCAAAAATCTTTATAACTTATATAAATCACGAAGTGTTACTTTATTTGTATAAAGACTGATATCTGAAGATTTGACAAGACTTCTTAATCAACCTAAAAATAACCATCACAGACTCAGATAGAAATATTTAATTGCAGACTCTGAGGACTTAAAGAACTTAGACTCTAATCTTAGTTTAAATGATTTTATCGATTTTTTATTATATAAGTTACGAGTATTTACATGTACTAAACATATCAAAATCAGACTTATTATCATACTTGTCTGAGGGAGTATCAGTATTAGGTAGCAAGTCTGAGTCGAGGCTACTCGAGGTAATTCCCTCAGGACTTCTATAGACTTTCTTCAAGGCCTCCAACACCTTCTGACCAGTCGTGAACACACGATATGTGAGCAGGAACGTATTGAGGAAATCAATACTGAGAAATCTTAGATCCGTCAGCCTTTCTAGAAGTCTCTCAACACTTCCGTGCCGAATCTATACAAAAATAAAACATTAAATATTACAATAATAACTTTATATCTCCATCAGATAATTTCTGAAAAGTTTCTGCTGCACCTAACAAAATTATCACAAAAATACAGATCTTTTGTGCAAATTTTTTTCTACATAAAAAGAGGTTTCAATAATTTATTGTACCTAAGAAGAGCATTAGTGGCCAAGTGGTTAAGATTGCTATCTTTGAATCACCTGCCCCTCGCCATTATAGGTTCGACTACCACCAGCGATTCTGAATTATTTCATGTGAGCAGGCTCTTCATTTAGATTTTGGAAACCTTGGTTGTTCTACTTGGATGCCCACTTGTAACTGAAATAATGCACAGAGGAGCATGTAGGGTACTCCTCCAACAAAGAAGCTAGGAAGTCGCCAAATGGTTTTTACATTGTCAGTGTGACTTCAAGCTGAACCAAATAAATGAAGGACCTGAGAAAATTGCATAAATAACTATTTCTAAACAACTTCAGTATCTTTGTATGAATAGAAACTTATACATGTATATACCTGGGGAACTTTACATGAATTGAGAGTACGGCTGAATTTGATATCCACATCATCTCGAAACAGTTTGGGATCTGACCTAGAAATATAAAAACAGTATAATTTCTCTCACTAACTTGTAAAATCTGATTTGGTAAATATCATTATACAGCCAATATTATCATGCTATACAAAATCTGACTGAAAATTTGTTTTCTAATAGGACATTTAAATTGACATGTCAAGTTTTAAATTCCTCTTAGAACAATACAAATAGACAAGTCAAACACTTATATGCCCCATAGGGCAATGAAAATAGAAAAGTCAAAGAATTATTTACTTCATATATATTTTAGACACTTCAAAACCTATATGTGCCTGAGAAGACAATGAAAATAACATGTCAAATATTCATTTGCCTCATAAGACAATGGAAATTGACCTGTGAAAGAATTATCTGCCTCATAGGACAAGGAAATCATACAAGCTCAAGAAACTATTTCCCTCATACATAATTATGACATGAAAAATATACAAGTTAACAAATTTATATATGCCTCATAGGACAATGAGATAATAAAAGTCAACACAATATATATAGGATAACTGATAACAATGTAAAACAAATGAGCCACGTCACGACAAAACCAACATACTGTATAAGTACTTATTTTGGCGGGGGTTTATATTTGGCTATATTGGCGGTCAGGGTCAGTAGCGCCAATTCAAAACACCGCCAATTTAATGCACCGCCATTTTAGATCATCGCCATTATTCTTTGAAAGGTAGACAACTCATGGTAAAATAGCTTTGGTTTGTCCGAGTAATATCCCTTGATTATTTGTAATAAAAATAAACATTACAAGTAAGCTGAAAAGAATTTGTTTATTTTTAAGTCTTGGTACGAAACTCATTTAATTATATATCTATATACTGTATTTATTACGAAGATGATCACACGACGAGAAACAAATCTAAATGTCATTTATTATTGAATTTAAGTAAACTAGTATTTGTTTTGTTTTCACTGTTATGTTTCATAATTTGAAATAAAACTAATAATAACTGTAATTATATAGCAATCAGTTGTGGTGACCGTGAACAATTTTTCACGCTTTAAAGACTGCAGGATAATAGGGCATACCTTTCTCTTCCATGGTCCAGTTACCACACGGTACCATATTTACACCTGTCTGATCCCAGTTAATTATAAGAATTAGCACGATGTAAAGATAAAGGTGACCAAGCATAGGTATACCGTATGCCGTAAAATAAACGAGGACAGTCAACTACTGCGTGACCGGTGTTATTTTTATTTTTTTTTTTTATTCTTTATTTGTAATCGCCAATTCATGACCCCATATTTATGCCAACAAGTGTTTTAATTTGGCGGTCTAAAAGCGCTTGCGCCAATTTATGACCCCGCCAATTCAAAACACTTTAAAAAACGCCAACATTTGACACCGCAGATATAATGCGCTATACAGTAATGGGTTTGCGACCAGCATGGATCCAGACCAGCCTACGCATCCGCGCAGTCTGATCAGGATCCATGCTGTTCGCTTACAAACCCTATAACAAGTAGAGAAACTGACAGCGAACAGCATGGATCCTGATCAGACTGCGCGGATGCGCAGGCTGGTCTGGATCCATGCTGGTCGCAAACGCACTATGTTGGTTTTGTCATGACGCGGCTCATATATAGGATAACTGATAACAATGTAAAACAATACCTCACTGACTGTGGCATGGTTACAGATGATGACTCACTCATGGAGCTATTTAACAGATCACTGTAATGTAGATTCTCTATACACTGTCAAAATAGAACATAGAAAACACTGTCATATACATCTTATATCAAACAGAAACTGCCGTCTGCCATAAATACGAGGGGTTATCCAAAAATTTGTGGACTTTTCAAATATCTCTCGAACGTCAACGTGTATTGTAATGAAAATTTATCAGCATACATTGTAGAATATTATCAACACATTTTGAAAGGAACAGTTAATGGTGTCAATAAATAATGATTTTATAATGCTTTTAAATTAGCACATACACGGCACCCGGCGCACGGTAGAAAAGCGCAGTAAGTCATCGTATATTTCTTGCTAAAAAACTAAAAAATTAACGTAGAAAACCCGCTGAACATCCCGCTTCTATGTTGTCATTTAAGTAATTCTTTAAAATAATAGACGTCATTTCCGTTTAATTTTGTTGATATCGCTAGAAACACCAGACGACTTTATTGTTTACAACGGGAAAATGACGGAAACGCGGTTATTTGAAAATCGCACGACCATAAACGATCATAAATTTTTGTTGTATTTTGGAAATGACACCTACAAAAACATTTGATAAAAATCAGCAGACAAATGGAGAAAAGAAAATTTCACGATCATTTTCTGTTAAAGTGGCATAAGAAATTTAGTGATGGACATTACTTTGGAGAAGCAGTAACTGTCATTGACTGTGTAATGTTGAAGCACAAGTTGTACGTTAATATTATAACGTTGACGTCAATAACTTTTTGGAGTGCGCCACTGTCGCCGACATGTGTTTATGTAAAATGAAAAATTGTTGTAATGTAAGAAGCTACTCACATGATTTTTTCTGTGTTTATTTGTTAGTAATTCTTCTAAGCAGTGTAAGAATTTCAAATTAATATTTCAAAAATATTTTATGCAACAAAGAAAGTCCACGAATTTTTGGATAACCCCTTGTATATATAACAACTTAAACTGTAAAACAGATATTGATGTCAAAAATAACTAATCCTTTCTGCACATATTTGATAGTTAAATGAATAAATAAAACATTTACTAATTTTTTCAAATGAGCAATCATATTAGCATAAATTTGAGACATTTAATGTGCTATCACAAATTTAAAACACATGCCTGTTAACACAGAATTACCACATAATGTGTTAACACAGTTTTGAAACCATATGAAAAACATATATTTGAATCACATACTTGATCATATAATTATGTGTTAACATATATAAATCACATATGCAATAACACAGATTTGAAATGCATATGTGCAAACACATACTTGCTCACATAATTATGTGTTAACATATTTGAAACACATGTGTGAACACATATTTGAAACACATAGGTGTAAACACATAATTGATCACATCATTAAATGTTAACCCAAATTTGAAACACATAATTATTTGTTAACAAATATTTCAAACACAAATGTGTTAACACATATTTCAAACACATACATGTAAACACAGTTTACCTGACTGATGTCACTACACCAAGCTGCCTTCTCTATGTGAGTAGATGCTACAAGAATGATGGTGACCTGAGGTCCACTTTTAGAATCAACGATCAGTCGGAAATCGAGACCATTGTAGTCGACCTGTTTCTCGGCTTGTAACGGTAACAATGTACTCTGTGATGAAGAGCTAGCGGCGCTTGATACGGAATCCAATGATGTTGCTGAAGACAAACATGTACATTTTCAGATATGAATGAAAACGCAATGACATATGAGAAGGAAAACATTTGAAATACTGTAGCTATTCTTCCTGTGAAAATCAAAATATGAGGAACACAAAAATGTATTCATCTTAGGAAAGAGTTTTCCATTCACATAAATAATGGTAAATAAAAAGGGTATTAAATATAATTCTAACATGACCCGCATTTTTCACTATTGAATATAGAAGAACCGAAAGTGTGTGTTATTATGCAATAGAGTCACAGTTGACGTTCTATATTTAGATATGTGACGTAATCATTATACATGTGACATAACCACTAAAAGAATCTGACGTGCTTAAAATAAGTACAGAAGCAAATCAGGCTCAATTTTGCTTAATATCAGTTATGGCAGCATTTATTTGTTGATGTTGTGTTAGAATCGAAATAATATATCCAAATCGGGGATGTTATCGCTTGATAACATCACTGTTTGTTATTCGGATGCGCATCATTATATCACTGGGGCTCGTGGTGTATTTCGTCGCATCCAAACTCCAAACAGTGATATTATTGAGCGATAAAATCACTGTTTGGGATATATTATTTCTTAAATAGTAACTCTAAATTAATTTTAATGAAATGAAATGTCTTTTTGTGGTAAAGCTTTATAATAAAGCCATGTCTACTTGCTTATATAACCGATTGTTAGACTGAATTTAACAAGTTTTATCACAGACAAAAATGGTATCACTAAAGTTAGCAGACAAATACATGTACAATCAAAGTAAAATACTGCCTATTCAAGTTCAAAATTAGACCCCCATCTTATACAGGGACCGGCTCAACAGTGAGTAAATATATAAAATATAGTATTGTTTAATAATGGTGAATATCTTACAATCAAAAACTTACACACATGAAAAAAAGCATAGTACTAGCTAGAATAATCAAAGTACAGAAGGAAGGTATTGACACTAGTTAATGAATAACAACTCAATAAAAGTAAAATAAATTCTAAAACATTGATGTTAATACTTACTGTCTTCATCAAAGAAGAATATATCTGAACCTGGATCTTCAATTATTGTACATTCAGCCAGGGGGATTTTACCGCAGTTCTGGAAAAATAATATGAGCCGCGTCACGATAAAACCAACATAATGGGTTTGCGACCAGCATGGATCCAGACCAGCCTGCGCATCCGTGCAGTCTGATCAGGATCCATGCTGTTCGCTATCAGTTTCTCTACTTGTTATAGAGTTTGTAAGCGAACAGCATGGATCCTGATCAGACTGCACGGATGCGCAGGCTGGTCTGGATCCATGCTGGTCGCAAACCCACTATGTTGGTTTTGTCGTGACACGGCTCAATATTATAGATTAAAATCATCGTAATCTAAATTACATTCTGATTATAAGCATTATTTATATATTCATTACAATTGTGAAGTATAATATATCTAAAAGGTAAATATCTAAGAAATGGTGCATCACCGTCCGTAAGAGCTTAGTGAGTTTACAAAAAATAATTCAGTGATTTTTCAATTTCAATTGAATCCTTTAAAGGAATATTATGAGAGTACAAGATCATTTTCAATTTTGAAATAATTATTAAATATTTAAGGAAAATATTCTTGCTGTGTTTAACAAATAACTGGAATCATGCAATCACAATGTGAAGTGAGAACATTAAATTTTTTTTAAAGTTACAACCATTATGTCACAATGATTAACCATTGAAATATGAAACAATGTTAAGAATGCTTAATAGCTTACAATATTAACATTGACCTTGACCTGTTTGGTGTGCATCAAAATTTGACATACAGTTTAACCCGTATCAGATGAACACCCTATGGGAGAGGAAGACTTAGGTTGTTGCTGAGAGATGTTGCTGTAGTGAGCTTCAATTAATTGTGAATTGAGCCGTGTCATGACAAAATCAACATAATGGGTTTGCGACCAGCATGGATCCAGACCAGCCTGCGCATCCACGCAGTCTGATCAGGATCCATGCTGTTCGCTTACAAACCCTATTACAAGTAGAGAAACTGATAGCGAACAGCATGGATCCTGATCAGACTGCGCGGATGCGCAGGCTGGTCTGGATCCATGCTGGTCGCAAACCCATTATGTTGGTTTTGTCATGACACGGCACAATTATGACTTGAGGTTGTTGTTTCAAGTTTATTGCATTCTCTACATTAGGCTGCTCTGCTGCAGATTGTGCACTGTGCTTCACTTTACTTTAAAGTGGTGCTCAAACTAAACAAACCATGGTTTGAGAGGCAAATGCCTTGACCACTACACCACTCAAATCCCTTTAAAGTTCTTACTTTTGCCAGGTGTAGTCTTCCATTTTCCTTTGCACGAGTGGTGAGCAAAAGATGATTTGTAAACAAATATGTCTGTCGGACCTCTTCCTTCTTTGATGATGTCAATGATGGCAGACGTCCACGATTAGTACGTGACTTTTCCTGAAAAACTTGAAGTAAAGGTCCTGCAAATAGAAACAGAAGCAATTTCTTATGCGTATTTATCATTTAAAACACAAATGTACAGGCGGCTGTTAGTGTTATCAACAGATGAACATATATTAATAAGAGTTATCAACAGATATCTGTAAATGTAAACAACAGATAATTATGAACAGATATCTGTAAGTGTAATTAACAGATGATTATGAACAGATATCTGTTAGTGTAATTAACAGATGATCATGATCAGATATCTCTTAGTTTAATTAACAGATGATTATGAACAGATATCTCTTTGTTTAATTAACAGATGATTATGAACAGATATCTTTAAGTGTAATTAATATATGATTATGAACAGATATCTTTTAATTAGTGTAATTAGCAGATGATCATGATCAGATATTTGTACATGTATTTTACAGACAATCTTGACAGGTGTCTGTAAGTGTTATCAACAGATTATAATGAACAGATATCTGTAAATGTAATTTACAGATTATCATAAACAGGTATATGTTAGTGAAAAAAAAGACATTCATGTTAGTGACTAAACAATAGACAATCATAATGTCTCGAATTTTATACTGCATGTCTACAAAAAGAAATTATGTATGATTTTTTACTATAATCTTAATTCTAATGAAAAGAAAAGTGCTCACTCTGTAAAATATGTAAATATGTGGTACTTAGCTCTCTGATACTGTTTCATTTTTTTAATTCTGACCTTTAATATACGTGTACTTACAGATATAAAAACTCAAAATTAAGAATAATTAAAGTAACTGGTGTTTCTTTGCCTCCAAAATTGGTTGTTTGTTTTAATATTCATTATTTCATAAATGTTTATTTTAGTAGGGACTTTATTTTATTCTACATAATGTTATAATTACACATTTATTTTGAAATATTTGCCTGTCATTATATCTTTATAAACTTTTTGAAAATTATTTGTTAAAACTATAAGACAGGTTATATAACCCAGTAATATAAAACCAATTGCAAATTTACATAACCAGATATTAACTTAAGTTAATGGTTATTTATAGCAAAAGATAAATCCTATATGGCTAAATAACCTGTCAAAATGCATTATAACAAATTCATAATACTGTGTTGGGATTTTTTTCCCAATAAACATAAATTTGCAGTAGCTCTGTTAATATATATTTATTTATATATAGATAATATAAACATCGAGATTATCCAATGAAAACCCATGTTACAAATATGCAGTACTATAACTGCTATATAGTACTGCTGGAGGTGCAATATGAGACCTATAGTATACCAAATATAACCAAACAGCTCATATTTAATGTAATCACTTTTCTTATAATATGAAAACAAGAAATTTCTTTATTAGTACAAGATCATATATAACTCAAAACTAATATTATCTTATCACTCAAACCTTATCAGAAATGATACACGTTTTTAAAAATCATTGAAGAGCAAAAAATGTCGCACATATCAACAATTTTTCTTAAAACATGATTATATTATCCCACTACTGCCATCTTTAACCACATAGCAAAGGGAAATCACTCTAAGAAAACTCTGAAGTACTCCCACAGACAAAATACCATGTCTTAGACAGCTTGTGTAAAAACTCACCAAATTCTTTTTTTTTCTACGTGAAAATCTGTGACCTCATTTCCGTTCGGTATTTCCAATACGGTACAATTATATTAAAAACAGGAATCAGTTCTGGTCAGGAAACACAAATATTCAATACGATCTTTTGAAAATGATTTGAAAAAACGGCTCTAGCCTCATGTTTAACATATTGAGATGGAATAGGACGATCAGGAAAAAAACCAATAGCTAGCCTAAGCTATGTACAGTTATTGATTTCCAATATCGGCTGCCCACGTTTCTTCCTATAATCATATACAGTCATTACACTGTTCTAAGGTGCCGATGATTGTCACTAATCAGTCCATTTTTTTCCTCTCATTTTTTTTTTTATCTCAATACAACAAATAATGCTATAAATATAATAGACTATATATGACAAAACTGTTTAAAGGCCTATAAATTATGTTCTGTGAAAATCTTTGTATCAAAATACAGTTTTACGCCCTTTCTATAATTGGAAATGATTTATACAGTGTGAGTTATAATTTTTCCACATAATGGAACCAATCCAATTAGTGGATCTATTAATACTCAACAAGGTTGTTGAACTTTGTATCTAAATTGTAGCGTCCACAACATGTAATGATTTTCCCTGATTTCAATGTTAGTGTAACAGGTTCAATTAATGAATGGTTTTGAGAGCTTGAGCTGTCAATCACAGTATATATAAAAGTGTAACACATTGTTTGGACTGTCCATGTCGGCACAGAATTATCAGTCCATGTCTTTGAGTAACCATATAATGGACCTCGATAGTGTTCAACACTTTATAAGAACTATCCTTATGATTGTGTGTTCAGATTTTCAGAAATTGTCCTTAAAATTAAATTCATTAGTACATTTATGATATGTCTTTGACAATGTGTTATGTCTTTGACAATGTGTTCAACATAACATGAACTGTCAATGACAGTGTGTTTTACATTATAGGATCTTCCATGACAGTGTGTTGAACACTTTAAAAACTGTCTGTGACTGTTTAATATTACAGAAACTTGCATGACAGTAAGTTAACATTACGGGATCAATTAATGACAGTTCAAACTTTAGAAACTGATCAGTTTTTTTAGCATTACAGGAACTGTCCAAGACAGAGTGTTCAATATTACAGGAAATATCACTGACAGTTTGTTTAATATTTCAGCAACTGTCCATGACATTATGTTTAACACTAAAGGAACAATTCACAACAGTGTGTTGAACATTATAGGATCTATTCATGACAGTTATGTTCAACACATTATAAATAGTCTATGACTGTTTAACATTACAAAAACTTCCATGACAGTATGTTCACATTACAGGAACTGTCAAAGATTGTTTGATACACATTACAGGAACTTCTGTGACAGTGTGTTAAAGATTTCAGTAACTGTTCATGTCTGTATGTTCAGCATAACAGGAACTTCCCAATTTGACAGTGTGTTTAACATTATGGGAAATATTCATGACAATATGTTTAAGTATTTCAGGAACTGTCCATGACAGTATGTTACATATTACAGAAACTGTTTATGATTGTATGTTAAACATTACAGAAACTTAGTAATTCATGACAGTGTGCTGAACACTTTAGAAACTGTCTATAACTGTTTAACATAACAGAAACTGATGACATGATATTATATTTTTTACTTCATGCAAAGGTTATATTTTTCTGTGTTTTTTCCCCGATCAATTGTATAATCTTTTGCAGTTGTGCAGATTAAATAATGTTTTAGTTGGTACTTTAGATGAGGAATAAATTATTCCTTGCCTAATATACAGACTTAATCTAAATGAAACTGCAATTTTTGCCTAATTTTATTTTAATTGCTCTTGAAGGATTTCTACTTGTCAAGAATTTTTAATAGAACTATATAAATAAATAAACATTTACTTTTTATTCATTGGTTACCCAAGTGCTTCAGTTACAAATTACAATTTGAAATTGAAAAGTAGACTGAGTTGTGTTTTTATTCATTTAATGTGACTTACTAGATTGAGGGAAATGTAAACATCTTGTATGTACTGCATGATATCACAAGGTTGTAAATTAAAAACTGGCAAATTAATTTTAAAAACTTCACATTCAATCACTTTGTCTTTGTCATTGTTCTTACAATAACATATCTGAACAGTCTTTGCAAAATTTATTTATGTTGTTTAATAAATGAATTATAAAATCAAGTTCTTGTCACAAAAATATTAAAATGCTAGTTCTTGATGACTTGAAAGTTTACTGAGTTTGTGTTTATTTTACAAGCATATGCCAATTGCTTTATTGATAATTTATAAACTCAAAACATTATTAATTCAATTTAGGTACATTTGTATGATTCTTAACAAGAACAAGAACGTGTTTGTTAAACACAAATGCCCCCGGCTCAGATTCTTGTCAGTAGCAATATTTCAAAAAATGTTTACCCATTCACTCAGTTATGGACAGAAAAATTGCCAAAAAATTGTAAACACAAGTTATATAGCTTGACAAAGTCATAGCATTTTGTAATTGTGAAAAATATAAGTTGCCAAGTCATTGCTCTGACTTGTGAAGATGAAAAATATTCAACTTCATGCAAGTTATCTTCCTACCAAATATGAAATACATCTGTCATTAAATAAAGGCTGTATGGGCAAAAGTGTAAAAATCTATTTTTAGCACTGGTGACCTTAACCAAACTGACCCCTAACTCTATCCAAAAGAAGAATACCATGTAAGTTATCTTCCTACCAAATATGAAATGCATCTGTCAATAAATAAAGGCTGTATGGGCAAAAGTGTAAAAATCTATGTTTAGCACTGGTGACCTTGACCCAACTGACTCCTTACTCCATCCAAAGGAAGAATACCATGCAAGTTATCTTCCTACCAAATATGAAATACATCTGTCAATAAATAAAAGATGTATGGGCAAAAGTGTAAAAATCTATTTTTAGCACAAGTGACCTTGACCCACTGATCCCTACCCCAATCAAAATGATGACCATGCAAGTTATCTTCCTACCAAATATAAAATATATCTGTCACTTAATAAAGGCTGTATGAGCAAAAGTGTAAAAATCTATTTTTAGCACTGGTGACCTTGACCCAACTGACCACTAACTCCATCAAAGTTTATGTTTCTATCAATTATAAATAACATCTGTTTATAGAATAAGGACAATACACCTGTAAAAATGTAAAAATCTATTTTTAACATTGGTGACCTTGATATTGGTAACATTGACCTTGACCCAAATGACCCCTTACTACACCCAAAGAAGGACCTCCCTTGGCATGTTTGTATTAAACTAAAACATCAACTAAAATATAAAGGCTGTATGAGCAAAAATGTTTATATTTATTTTTTAAACCAGTGACCTTGACCCTAGAGACCGCTTACTCCACAAAAAATTAGGACCATCAAAGGTATTCACCTACTAAATATGAAAGATATCATTAAAGAAATTAAGCAATTAGGAGAAATTTAAGATAAATCCAACTAGCCGAAATAGGTTAACCAGACAAGGCCCTATTTTCAAAGTGAAAAAAGGGAAATAACTGGGAAATATGGATGACACAGTTATATAACTTGGCAATACTATGTACTTTGTATTGATAAGTAAGTGTGGAAATTATAAAGCCACATTAGTATAGATAGAACTTAAGATATTTCCAACTTGCCGTTTTAGGTTAACCATTATTCATTTTCTAAGTGCTGAAAAGGGCAATAACTTGGTAAATATGAAAGCCAGAGTTATGTAACTTGCCCAGATCATGTACATTGTATTGATTAGTAAGTGTGTAAACTTAGAAGCAATTGGTACAGGTAGAGCCTAAAAAAAATCCAACTTGCCGTTCTAGGTTAACCTCGTACGGACAGACGGATGGACGGACGGTTCAATCACTATATGCCTAGGGGCATAAAAAACAAACTTTTCACTAGAAGCAAAAATGCAATATAGCTTCAGAACTTTAAAAGCAGCTTTATTTGCAATGTTGTAGAAATATGGTGATAGAAACAGAAATTTTGTCATATATTGCAATAAACAAGTTTGTTTTTAGATTCACTTCAGATTTCAGTTTGATTACATCAAATTTTATTTTCACATTCGAGGAATGTGCATCTTTAACAGAATCAGAATAACAGTCAAAATAACAGAGTCATAATAAGTGAATCATAATAACAGAATAATAATACAAGAATCATAATAACAGAGTCATAATAACAGAATCATAATAACATTATCATGATAACAGAATCATAATACTAGAATCATTATAACAGAATAATAATAGCAAGATTCACTATCATAATAACAGAATAACAATAACACAGTCATAATCATAATAACAGAATCATTATAACAGAAACATAATACCAGAATCATAATAACAGAGTCATAATAAAAGAATCATCATGACTGAATAATAGTACCAAAATCATAACTGCAGAATTATAATAACAGAGTCATAATAAAGGAACAAGGGCAAAATTGTTACAAAATATATCATAAAAGCTTTTGGTGGGCATTATAGATAGGCATTGAAATAAGCTCTTAGTGTGACCCTTACCTTTGAACTGGATCATGTATGAAGCAATACATTTAATGGTGGTAAACTTTTCTATAAATTATCATAAAAATTCTTCCATGCATATAGGAGATATGCTATAGACAAAATTCAGATATTTCATCATCTTTTAGAGACTATGACCTAACATACAAGTGTCATGGCAGTAGTCATGATGATGACCATTTGTATTACAATCCCTCAATAAATGATGACTAAATGGTCCTTATACACATCTTCACTTTTTTATCTGAACTTTTACCCCTATATGTGACCTTGCATTTTGGGCCTGACACTCTACCTTACAATCATTATGGTGAACATTTGTGTTAAATTAAAATCCCTCCATGCATGTAGAACTTTTGCTCCAGACAAGCTTTTTTAATGACCACTATTTGATACCTCCTATGTGAGATCTTGACCTTTGACCTACAGACTTGGTTCATGGGTGCTCCATAGCTTCTTATAGAAGTGAACATTTCTATGAAGTTTCATTAAAACCCCTCATTGCATGTAGGAGATAGGTTCCAGACAAAATCTAGATATTACATCATCTTTAGTGTTCTTGACCTTGCATACATTGACTTAAAGTACAAGTGTCACAGATGTAGCTATGTTAAGGACCATTTGTGTTACAATCCCTCAATAAATGTTGACTAAATGATACCTATACACATTTTCATATCTTTATCTGAACTTTGACCCTTATGTTTGACCTTGACCACAGGGACCTGAAATTTGCACACCACACTCTGCCTCACAATGGTAAACATCTCTGCCAAGTTAAATTGAAGTCCCTTTATGCATGCAGATGTGTTACTCTGAACAAGCCTTTATTCAATGACCTGTAAGTATGAACTTGACCTTTAAAGTGGAGCTCTGGTTCATGCCCGCGACACAGCTTCTCATAGTGGTGAACATTTCTATAAAGTTTCATAAAAATCCCTCCATGCGTGTAGGAAATATGGATATTTCATCATCTTCAGTGACCTTGACCATGCATATATTGACCTTAATAACAAGTGTCACAGATGTTGTCATAATACTGACCATTTGTTCACAATTCCTCAATAAATGATGACTAAATGGTCCCTATACACATTTTTATATTTTTATTTGAACTTTGACCCTTATATGTGACCTTGACCTTAGCCAAAGGGACCTGAATTTTGTGCAAGACACTCCACCTCTCAATGTTGAACATTTGTACCAAGTAAATTGAAAACCCTCTTCGCATGTAAAAGTTTTGCTCTGGACAAGCATTTTTCAATAAGCTCCATGTGTGACCTTGACCTTTAACCTAGAGAGACCTGGTTCATGCCCATGACATGGATTTTCATAGTGGTGAACATTTCTATGTAGTTTAAATAAAATCCCTCCATGTGTGGAGATATGTACCGGACAAAATTGGGCGCTGCCTGCCAGACCTTCCATCTGCCCGGGGTGTTCCTATAATATTACCTGTTTGAAAAAATAAAAATATCTTAAAAAAATACGTACCCTGTCTAACAAAAGTTTGGTTAACATCCAGGAGAATATCGCAACCTTCTATAATCATACGCTCGATTGACAAATTCTTCCGTATATTCTCGGTTTCACTCACCTCGTCATGCATAATCTGAAAATATTTGAAATATTAAAATAATTTGGTAGTCAACGTTTTTGGGAACAGAATAAAACTTACAATTTCTAGTGAAATATGGCCAAATTTCCATCTACAACTATAATACAAAAGTCTAAGGCCAAAAGCACAATACTTAAGTTGCCAATGATTCTTAATAACAACGAAGGAATTACATTGAGATGTTAGAAGTTCATGTTTAATTGTGATAATAATAAAATGATAACTTTATAGTTTAACTTATAACATATTCATAATTTAATGCCTTCTTCATCTAATTTTTACCATATTCACAAGACTTCAAGAATCTTATATATGTACAGCTTGTTTTTAAAATACATTAAACGCATTCCTCTGAGTTTTTTTGACATGTCAGGACTCAGACATATTCCTGTATCTTTTTGAATCCAACAACTTACCTTAGATAATTCCTCCAGTTTACTTTTAGCATATTCTAGACTGTTTCTCTCCACGTGATCATGTGGAGTGTGTGCTAGTAGTTCATGTAATGTAATGATGTAACGGGGTATCTGAAAATAGATGGAGACAATACTTCACCTCATAAAATCTGGTTTTAAAATCTGGTTTTAATTATGCAAAAAGAAAAGTGTACACTATTGCCTCAACTGTAGTTCAGAAAAATACTTCAGGAAAATAACAGCTAGGGCTTAAAACCCATTCCTGCCTACAAGACAAGGACTATTACCTGTTTCACTCACAGAACACTCTGTTTGCCATTATTTGTACATTTTGAATTGCACTCTTCAGAAAGCCCAGAGCATGAACAATTTTGTTTGATTTAAAATATTAATAATTGTTTATTAATATTTTGTATATTTTTGATATAAAGATGTAAATAAATTGTTTCATTTCTAACTTTGAGAATGTTGTAGAATTTCTATAGAAAATAATGCATCCATATTTCTAATATTAATATTATTTTTCATATCTTAAATAAAAGACAATCACTTATATACACCAATGACCTTTTTGATATTGGATAACCCAAAAGTAATGACAAATCAATGACGCCACAAAACAATTTCTCACTCAAGCCTACATCAAAAAACAATTACTCACTCGAGGCTACATCAAAAACCAATTTCTTACTCGAGGCTACATCATAAAACAATTTCTCACTCAAGGCTACATCATAAAACAATTTTTCACTCGAGGCTACATCAAAAAAACAATTTCTCACTCGAGGCTACATCAAAAAACAATTTCTCACTTGAGGCTACATAAAAAAAACAATTTCTCATTTAGGCTACATCAAAAAACAATTTATCACTCTAGGCTACATCCAATAACAATTTTTTACTCGAGGCTACATCAAAAAACAATTTCTTACTTGAGTCTACATCAAAAAACAATTTCTCTCATGAGTCTACATCAAAAAACAATTTTTTACTCAAGGCTACATCAAAAAACAATTTCTCACTTGAGTCTACATCAAAAAAAAATTTTTTACTCGAGGCTACATAAAAAAAAACAATTTCTCAATCGAGGCTACATAAAACAAGAGGGCCATGATGGCCCTAGATCGCTCACCTGAATTATCAAACTCATCCAAACAATTACCTAGACAAGCATTCTGACCAAGTCTCATGACAGGTGAGTCAAAAATGTGACTCAGTGTTAACAAGGATTATCCATATTTGAGCAGTGCGACCTAGTTTTTTACCCAGGTGACACATATTCAAACTTGACCTAGAAATCATCAAAACAAACTTTCAGACCAATTTCCAGGATACTTGGATCAAAACAGTAGCAACTAGAGTGTTAACAAGATTTTTCTATTTTTAGCTCCGGTGACCTAGTTTCACATGCGATTTCGAACTAATCCAAGCAATTACCTAGACAAGCATCCTGACCAAGTTTGATGATAATCGAGTCGAAAATGTGACCACTAGAATGTTAACAAGGTTTTTCCATATTTGGGCGGTGTGACCTAGTTTTTCATCCAAGATGACCCATGTTTGATCTTGACTTAGAAATCATCAAAAAAAACTTTCAGACCAATTAACAGAATATTTGGATCACAACAGTAGCCACTAGAGTGTTAACAAGATTTTTCTATTTTTAGCTCATGTGACCTAGTTTTTCATCCGAGATGTCCATGTTCGATTTATTCCAAGCAATGACCTATTCAAGTTTCCTGACCAAGTTTGATGACAATTGAGTCAAAATTGTGACCACTAGAGTGTTAACAAGGTTTTTCTATTTTTAGCTCCTGTGACCTAGTTTTTCATCCGAGATGACCCATGTTCGAACTCATCCGAGCTATCACCTAGACAAGCATCTTGATCAAGTTTGATGATGATTGATGCAAAAATGTGACCGCTAAAGTGTTAACAAGGTTTTTCTATTTATAGCTCCGGTGACCTAGTTTTTCATCCGAGATGACCCATATTCGAACTCATCTGAGCTATTATCTAAACAAGCATCCTGACAAAGTTTGATGATGATTGGGTCAAAAATGTGACCACTAGAGTGTTCACAAGGTTTTTCTATTTTTAGTTCCTGTGACCTAGTTTTTCATCAGAGATGACCCATGTTCGAACTCATCCAAGCAATTGACTAGACAAGCATTCTGACCAAGTTTGATGATGATTGGTTCAAAAATGTGACCACTAGAGTGTTCACAAGGTTTTTCTATTTATAGCTCCTGTGACCTACTTTTTCATCCGAGATGACCCATGTTCGAACTCATCCGAGCTATCACCTAGACAAACATCCTGACCAAGTTTGATGATGATTGGGTCAAAAATGTGACCTCTAGAGTGTTCACAAGGTTTTTCTATTTTTAGCTCTTGTGACCTAGTTTTTCATCCGAGATGACCCATGTTCGAACTCATCCGAGCTTTCAACTAGATAAGCATCCTGACCAAGTTTGATGATGATTGAGGCAAAAATGCGACCGCTAGAGTGTTCACAAGAAATTGTGGACGGCCGGACGGACGACGGACGACGGACGACGGACATTCACCGATCCTAAAAGCTCACCCTGAGCAAGCTCAGGTGAGCTAAAAAACAACTTCTTACTTGAGGCAACATCAAAAAATAATTTCTCACTTGAGTCTACATCAAAAAACAATTTTTTACTTGAGGCTTCATCAAAAAACAATTTCTCACTTCAGTCTAAATAAAATTTTTTTTTTTACTTTAGGCTACATAAAAAAAACAATTTCTCACTCGAGGCTACATCTTAAAACAATTTCTCACTTGAAGCTACATAAAAAAAAACAATTTCTCACTTAGGCTACATCAAAAAACAATTTCTCACTAGAGGCTATATAAAAAACAATTTCTCACTCTAGGCTTCATCCAAAAACAATGTCTCACTCAAGGATACATCATAAAACAATTTCTCACTTGAGTCTACATCAAAAAACAATTTCTCACATGAGTCTACATCAAAAAACAATTTTTTACTCGAGGCTACATCAAAAAACAATTTCTCACTTGAGTCTACATCAAAAAAAAATTTTTTACTCGAGGCTACATAAAAACAAACAATTTCTCACTCGAGGCTACATCATAAAACAATTTCTTAATTGAGGCTACATCAAAAAAACAACTTCTAACTTTAGGCTTCATCAAAAAATAATTTCTCACTTGAGTCTTCAACAAAAAACAATTTCTCATTTGAGGCTACATCAAATGTAGTATACTAACTTGATGCATAGGATAAGTAAGGAAGATCTCTAGTGTCCTTGTTTCACACGCAGGTTTCTCCTCGTAACGTTTTAGCAGATTGTTAAATTCCGGTTTTTGTTTGTATTCGGCAAGAACCTGTAGACTGTAATGATGGTTTCTAACATACTCCTGGTATATACACAGCATAGGCAACAACATGTCAAACAAATCACCTATAATGATACAAGTCATAAAGTAAGAAACAAGAGCCACTGCAGAGAGGGTTGTGTCATAAGTGTTGTTAAGACTTGAAAGTATGAATCTATCACTAAAGTTATGACAATTTAAGCAAATTTCAATAATTTGACCTCCACAGTCAAGGTCATTTAAAGGTCAAAATTGTATCATTCAACACATATGTCACAGATTTTGTGACAATAGGACTGGTAAAGGGCTAGTAAACAACATAATCTCTTAAAAAGTGGAACTAGAAAGTGATTTGGACACACTGTTAATGTATCCTCTTATATTATTAGTTATAAAGATTTTTGAAAGGTTATATGGCCCAATATAAATGGCTGTTTGTATATATAACCTGAGTTGCTAGATGAGGGTTATATTGCAAACAAGCGTTTATATATGGCCATATAACATGTCAAGAATCTTTATAATGAATTTGTAATAAAGCAAACTTCCTTTTTTAGAGGATATCTTCATAATTTCACAGCAGACGTGTATATATTTATACACAAATCAGTTATCAAATTACAGACTTTCAGTATTATAATTAAATTTGTTTTCATAAATGTACTCACCCAACACTAATGTGGGCCAGTTTTCAAGTCTTGCACATAGACCTTTGAAAAATATTTGATGGAGAAACAACAAAGTCTCACTGAAATAAAAAGTATAAAATAAAATAAATCTGATAAAACATTCTCTTCAAAATCTAAATGCCTTTCTAAATATGAAAAATAAATTCTTTTTCAGGCATTGTATACATTGTTGTTGAATATGATGTTTAAGAACATATTTACTCTAAAAAGGTGTTCCACATGCAATCAGGATTTGTTTGCTAATACAAAAATATCCATTAGGAAACTTGCAATGTATCACAGTAAAAATACATTTTCTCCCAAAACAGCTTGTAATATATCACTATTATGGTCTTTTCTCCCATTATATCCATTAGGCAATTTGCAAATTATGTATCACAGTTAGGGTGTATTCTCCCATATATCCATTAGGCAACTTGCAATATATCACAGTTAGGGTGTACTCTCCCATATATCCATTAGGCAACTTGTAATATATCACAGTTAGGGTGTATTCTCCCATATATCCATTAGGCAAATTGCAATATATCACAGTTAGGGTGTACTCTCCCATATATCCATTAGGCAAATTGCAATATATCACAGTTAGGGTGTACTCTCCCATATATCCATTAGGCAAATTGCAATGTATCGCAGTAAGGGTGTATTCTCCCATATATCCATCGGGCAACTTGCAATGTATCGCAGTAAGGGTGTACTCTCCCATATATCCATTAGGCAAATTGCAATGTATCGCAGTAAGGGTGTACTCTCCCATATATCCATTAGGCAAATTGCAATGTATCGCAGTAAGGGTGTATTCTCCCATATATCCATCGGGCAACTTGCAATGTATCACAGTAAGGGTGTACTCTCCCATATATCCATTAGGCAAATTGCAATGTATCGCAGTAAGGGTGTACTCTCCCATATATCCATTAGGCAAATTGCAATGTATCGCAGTAAGAGTGTATTCTCCCATATATCCATCGGGCAACTTGCAATGTATCACAGTAAGGGTGTACTCTCCCATATATCCATTAGGCAAATTGCAATGTATCGCAGTAAGGGTGTACTCTCCCATATATCCATTAGGCAAATTGCAATGTATCGCAGTAAGGGTGTATTCTCCCATATATCCATCGGGCAACTTGCAATGTATCACAGTTAGGGTGTATTCTCTTATATATCTATTAGGCAACTTATCAGTTGGGTTTTGTTTCTCCCATACATTCATTAAATGTAATGTATCACAGTATTTTTTATCCCATATATCAATCAAGCAACTTGTAATGTATCACAGTGAGAGTATTTTTCTCCCATATATCCATCAAATAACCTTACATGTATAACACAGTTCCCAAATATTCATAAAGCAGTTGTTATCACAGCATTTTTTTCCCCCATATATCCACCAAACAGCATGTAATGAATCCCATTTAATGTGTATTCTCTTATATATCCATTTGGCAACTTGTAATGTATCAGTTGGGGATTTTATTCTCCCATTAATCCATCATTAGATTGTAATGTATCACAGTGACAGTGGTGAGGGATTTTTCTCCCATATATCCATAAAATGTAATGTATCACAGTATTTTTATCCCATATATCAATCAAACAGCTTGTGATGTATCACAGTTAAGGTTCTTTGCCTACATAACTATCAGGAAACTTGTAATATATTTTAAAAAGGGTGTTTTCTCATATATCCATCAAACAACTTGTAATGTATCACAGTTACAGTTTTTTTATCTCCCATATATCCATCAAACAACCTAACAACCTCACATGTATAACAGTTAGGGTATTATCTTCCATATATCCATCAAGCAAATTTGTTATATATCACAGCATTTTTTTCTCCCACATATCCATCAAACAGCTTGTAATGTATTTCAATTATGGTATATTCTCTTTTATATCCATTTAGTAGCTTGCTTGTATTGTATCAGGCATTTTTTATCCTATTAATACTCATTAGCTTGTAATGTATCACAGTTAAGGAATTTTTCTCCCATATATCCAATAAATGCAATGTATCACAGTAAAATTTTCTATCTCATAATTATTTTAGTTTGGGTGTATTCTCATATATCCATCAAATAGATTGTCCAATATATTCAAGAATTATGTAATTTATTACAATCAGGAATAAATTTCATTCATGTAACTTTTATTGTATCACAGCCAGCTAAATAATACCCATATATCATTTATGCAACTTGTATCAACCCATATTTCCTCCATTTAACTTGTAATCTATCACATTCGTGATGTATCAACCAATATCCTCCATTTAACTTGTAATGCATCACATTCGTGATGTATCAACCCATATACTCTCCATTTAACTTGTAATGCATCACACTTGTGTTGTATCAACCCATATATTCTCCTTTTAACTTGTAATGCATCACATTTGTGTTGTATCAACCCATATATCCTCCATTTAACTTGTTATGTATCACATTTGTGATGTATCAGCCCATATACTCTCCATTTAACTTGTAATGCATAACATTTGTGATGTATCAACCCATATACCCTCCATTTAACTTGTAATGCATATCATTTGTGATGTATCAACCCATAAACCCTCCATTTAACTTGTAATGCATCACATTTGTGTTGTATCAACCCATAAACCCTCCATTTAACTTGTAATGCATCACATTTGTGTTTTATCACCCCATATATCCTCCATTTAACTTGTAAAATATCACATTTGTGTTGTATCAACCCATATACCCTCCATTTAACTTGCAACATATCACAGTTATGTTGTATTAACACATATCTCTTCCATTTAACTAGCAATGCATCACAAATTCAAAGGTTTTTATTTAAACATATCCTTTAAGCAAATTACAATATTTTTGCCTATCATATACTTAAAGCATCTTGTAGTGAATTAGTGTATGGGGTATGTACCCCTGTTCCCCTTCAAGTTACTTGCCAGATATAATGAAAACTTCATAAAGCTAGATCAGTCTATGGTGTGACCACCAACAAATATAAAAGACTGAAAGATAATGTATATTTACCTGTTTAGAAATATTGAGTTAACATCTTCATGTGTAATAGGAGGTTTCTTAGAGCTTGCTGCCATTCTGAGTGGTCGTAAAAAACATGTAACCAGGGTAGACAACTGCTGGTTGTACTCTTCCTCGCACTCTACCATACTGAAATAGTCAATTTTTCATTTAATTTTTTTATTCGAAATTTACAAAATATCTTTGTAAAACACAAACTGAGGACTTGGTGCAAAAAAGTTATAACTCATATCACATAAAGAAGAAGTTATAACCTTTCACCCTAAGCCCTGGAAATACTCTAATGTCCAAAATCAGTTACAAGTGAAACTTTCTAAATTCTGAAAACTTGACCTTGAAGGTCAGTTACAGGTCAAGGTCATTAAGAAGTCACATTCTTATATATCAAAATGAAGCCAGAGGTATACTCAAGTTATAATGAAGGCTCTAGTTTACAGAATAAAATTGCTGTGTAGGGTAAAGATGATTCTGGAGACACAACAAAAGCAAATTGTTCCCATTCTGTTTTGTTGATGGAAGGGTTTTGAAAGTAGTTATAGTGAATTATCAATATTTTGTAATATACATGCACTTAACTTTTTGTGAAGAATATCTGCAGAATCTTTATATACTGATTTTAACTTATATTTCTCACTATGGTAAACAATGTATAATATACATTCTCCAAATATGCTTGTATCATAGTTTGGAGACCTTTCTACACCCCCTCATACAGATCAGATAGCCTCTAGTTTCAAAGTTCTTTTTTTTTACATAATATTGATGGAGATTAAATCAAACCCATGACTTTTACTTTTTTGGACCGAAAGAATTAAGCCTTAGACACCAGTATTAAGTCAGGCTAGCCTATCTCTGCAGTCTGACCATGCAGGTTCTATACTATTGGCTGATTAACCTTAATTCTCCCTTAAACTGATAATGGGCAGTTCCGAATTGGAACTGGACAAGTTCATTTATGACCTTTAGGAGGTGGGAAAGGTGTTAAATATTGGGATGTTCATAAATTACCTGAATACAATGCTATTACGTTTCCTCATACTTTCTGCATGTGGGGAACGAATATACAGCTCCACGATCTGCTTCCATCTTCTCCGACACAACCAGCCTCGAAAAAAACTTTGAACCTGCAACGCAAAATCCTCCATAGAAAAACCATCCTCGACCAAGACATAGTAAAGTTTTGATATAAAAATTTAATGATAAAATGATATTTAACCTTTAAAAAATTTTCATCAGTTTTTCATTATAGTCGACAAAATTAAATGTACTTCCTAGATTTGGTTTAAGAACTTGATTAAGTCTACTTTACTTTCGATTCTTTAGAACACTCAAAGAAAACTCAATCAAATTCATTCAAATGTGGAGAAAATCTATGAATTTCAATAGAAAATGTTTTCTATTTTATCATTCTGTTATAGAAGTATTGAAAATACTTAAGAAAAAAAGATAATTTATTATTTTGTAAAATATCAATTTTCAAAGAATTTGTACTTGTTTTTTGTGATTATTTCACACAAAATAATTATTTAGATCCTGCACATTTACTGTCACATAAAATTTATTGAATTAAGACAAAGGTGCTGAAATTCTTTAAATTTTCGAAAGTTATAAATGATAGAATTCCTCATTGAAAGCTACATTTCAGAAATGTTATGTTACACATGTATATTACAATATTCGATAAATCAGAAAATAAAGAATTGTTAGTATCATTACCATTTTATTTTCATTTCGCATTGTTTGCTTTTTAAGTTATGATCAACTTGTTAAATATAGTGAATTAAAATACTAAGAATTATAAATTCTTTTTTAGTGTGCAGCAAGGGAAACTAATCTGAAGAGAATAGAATGTAAATGTTGAAGAGTTATCTCCCTTGTTACTCTAGATACATAGAGGAAAAGTAAAAATTTTACTTTTAACACAAATGAAATAGAAAGGTTCAAGTATTTAAGTTTTAATCTAAGCAAACATTTTTTGTATATTAAATCATTAAATATTAATATATATTGAGCTATTATGTCAAATCAAAATCCAATATAATGCCCCCACATAGGTATGTATATATCTAGGATTTTGTCCCTAAGAGAATGCCCCATATATGTTCTATATGATAGATATATATATAGATTTACAACATAATTACTTTTTAACTAAACACTCCAAACCAAATATATTTACTAAATGCTTTCTAAACCTAAAATCTCAAACACCCTATATCTGTCAGACGTCTGTAAAACAATATTTAAAATTCATTTTTTTCTTGTAATACACTGCTCTAGAAACAGGAAAAGAAACAGCAAAATAAAACAAGATATATCTTGCTATATGAAAAGAAACTTGAAAACTTGAAATAAAAAATAAATAAATTAAAAAAATGACATCTGTAACATTGGCATGTTTTCAAACAAAGCTTTCCTATTAATATAAAAGGCAAATGGCAGACGGCCAAAAGAAAAAAAATATATATACATTTGCCTTTTTAAATAAAAGTACATCTTAAAATCAGACAATTTTATTTATTCATTATTTGTCTGATATCTATGTCACAATTACCTGCCCAATCATTTTATGACAACTTTTGTGTCACAGGTTTATAAATTTTTTTAGCCTGACTGGGACTCGGACCCAGGACCCTCAGAAAACTGTTCTGGAGCCCTACCAAGCCAGCTTCATGGAGGCTTACACATTGTCTTCTCATTTATTAAATAGTCCGTAACTGTGACATACTCCCTGGCAATGGGTTCAGAGACCAACTGACAAAGAGGTGTACTATCATGGCCCCATGTGGGTAGCCAAATGTCCTAGAGTGAAAAATACATGCAGCCAGGACCCTCAGTAGGAGCTACGCGGCTGCTTACAGTTAAACACAATTTCTTTGTGCTTTGGTTTAAACATATTTATTTTAGCTCGATTCCGAAACAAGTTTTTGCAACTTATATTAATCACTTTCTAGTCCGCTTCCTGGAACCAACCAGTACTGGTGTCATGTGAAGAGGCATGGTCGTGACCCGAGTAGGGCTCGAACCCATGATCTCTGGGTTGAGAGGCAGACACCTTAACCACTAGGCCACCGCTCCCCTTCTCCACATTACTTTGTGCTTTAAATTGAATTGCTTTAAAACACTTTATAATATAAACGTATAAAGCAAAACAAAAGCTTTATAAGTTTAATAGCTTTGTCTAGATGAATTCACCAGCCTTAATAGTTCAATTGCAATAAGTTATGCATTCAGCATTCGGCTACTTGTGTCTAAAAACTAAAAAAAAAACATTATACATAACTCAAGTCAGAAGAATAAATCAAACAAAAGTTAAAATAAAACTTGGCAAGTTGTTAACTCAAGTTATTTTGTATATATACACGTGTATATATATATAAAGATATTGAACACTGCATATATATATTATTATAAATATATATATATACATATGATAATAGACGTAGAGTATAATTATATATATTGTACACCTAGCAAACTGTTTGTAACTAAATCATTTATCATGCATATCATGTATCAACAATATAGATAATACCTGCACGTAGCCTGTAAAGTGTTGGGATATATATAGATATTGTGATGAACAAATGAAAAAGGGATAGATTCAAAGAAAGATGGATGTCACACTTTTTGAGCAAAAATTATCAGTTTTGGGGGCATTTTTTTTTCAAATATACACTACAGTCAACTTTGAAACAAAGTTTTTCTGTTAATCATGTTTGTTTATAATTCCTAACACTTGCTGATGAACTTTTAGACAATTTCGTTTTTCAGCCAGTATATCAAAACATGCAAAGGGGGTAGTTTGCTTAGGCAAAGATTTAAATAAATTGCAATGAAACAATAAGCAAGAAAACCTTGCAGGACATAATGCATTATCCTGGAAATACAAACATTCTGAAAAAAATTTAAGCAAATTAGTAACTAAATAACACAAAATTAAAACAATGCGCAATGAAAAATCTATAACCAAGTAAAATAACTTTCCAACTAAAACAGTCACCCCACATCAAGTAACAATAGTTTATGATGTTCTTTGAACAAACTCAAAATGCTAGAACTTAAAAATTCTTGCCAAACACTTGAAGGCAAAATAAGCAAAAAAGCAAAATGCTGATAAAAAAAATGAATACCAAAATTCTCACACCTTATATCAACTTGTATGTGCTCAAAAACTAGTGACTTAATGTATACACAGACTGAACTTCAATGAGCAAGCAAAAAATCAATGACTTTAAACATAAAATAATAAATGTAATAAATTAAAATTGATACCAAAATTGTGGATCTTTTTAACATAGTATTCTCAATTACAACTGAAAATATCTTTATAAAAGTAAAACAAAAACTATAAAAAGCAACATTTTCTAAATTGTTTTTAGAAAATGACTTTTTAGCTTGTAACTAGAAGAACAAACAAACTTTGTTTTGATTAAACCAGTAAATTATATATGGATTACAACCAGTAAATTATATATGGAATTTAACCAGCAAATTATATAGTTATAGATTTTAACCAGTAATTTATATATGGATTTTAACCAGCAAATTATATATGGTTTTTAACTAGCAAATTAATATGGATTTTGACCAGTTAATTATATATGGATTTTGATCAGTAAATTATATATGGATTTTAACCAGTAAATTATATATGGAATTTAACCAGCATATATTGATTTTGACCAGTACATAGATGTATATAGATTTTAATAAGTAAATTGCATAATTATGGATTTTAACCAGCATAGTATATATGGATTTTGACCAGTAAATTATATATAAATTATGTATGGGTTTTATATGGATCTTGACCAGTCAATTATATATAAATTATGCATGGGTTTTAACCAGCAAATTATATATGGATTTTGACCAGCAAATTATATATGGAATTTGATCAGCACATGGTTTTAACCTGTAAATTATATTTGGATTTTGATCAGCACATGGTTTTAACCTGTAAATTATATTTGGAATTTGACCAGTAAATTATATATGGATTATAACCAGGAAACTATATGACTAGCAAATAATACATGAAATTATATTCAGCAAATCGTATATGGAATGTAAAAATAAAATTTCATGTGAATTAAAACAAGCAAAAAAATATATGGATTATAACCAGCAAATTATATTGACTTTTATCACATGACACAGCTTACTATGTTTTAAATGTTATATAACCGTTACATATTTTTTTACATATTACACACATGTTATATAATGACATTATTTTGCCAAAACATTTCATAAGTAAAAAGGCGTACAAAAGCACACATAAAACATCCAAACTAGTTATTTACTATATTTTAAATTGTTTAAGTCATGTGATAAAAAGAAGCACATGAGTTGCCACATAAAATTTTATTTAACCAGTCCAAGAAAATGGTATAACTATAAGCAAGTCAGCACTCATTTTACAACAACCTCTTGTTTAGTTAAATTGTATATTATATGGCAATTCATGTGAAATCCTATATATGCAGTAAAGCAGCAATATGGCTATAGATGTTATCCGCAATCAGGCAAATGTGAGTTTTTCCCATCTAATCCCTGGGGAATATAAACTTTTTATTGTTAAGTTATAGCTTGATAGTGCACTACTGTTCCCAATAGAGTCATGTATGTGATACACTAACTTTTGATATATTTACCGAATTGTAAGTGAACAATTTTGAACCCTGGGATTAGATGGGCCAAGTTCTGCAGTATCTTATGATGTGCAATCATATATATAAAGTAAAGCAGCAAATAACGCTAAGCATTCAAAGGAGAAACCTATGTTACTCACAACACAGCAAGAAATCTAAGAAACTAAAACCAAGCCTTTACACAAGTATAAAATTTTCAAGTCAAATTACACAATGGGAACCTCCATATCTACTCTTGCCGAACAGGAGCCAATACAAATACAGTATATGTCATCTCCATAAAAAACACAAGAGTAACATTGATCCAGCATAAAGTATTCTTACTTGAAACTATTTTAAACCATCCTTCAAACTGGGGAACATATAATTGACCATATATTGTATATTCATGCTAAGTTAATAAACTGGTTAACTACTGATCATATGTATATCCTGTCATTATGTGTACTTAATAAACTGTATAACTACTGATTCTAAATTGTATTTTAATGTCATATCAATAAACTGGTTAACAAGAAACCATATATCCTGTTATTATGTATACTTAATAAGCTGGGTAACTACTGACTCTATATTGTATTTTAATGTCATATCAATAAACTGGTTAACTAGAATACCATATATACTGTTATTATGTCAAGTCAATAAACTGGGTTACTACAGACGATATATCATCTGAAACTAACAAACTGAGGAAATATTGACTATACATGTATATATTGTAAAAATAGGTCAACTTAATAAACTGGGTGAAAATAAATGACCGTATATTTTATGATTATGTCAACTTAAAAAAACTGAGTAACTACTATAAATAAATATCCTATAATTATGTCCATACAAGTTGATGAAGTGAATGACTACTGACTACATATTATTCATTCTATTAAATGTCAACTTCATTAACTGGGTACAAATTGAATATATAACAAACAATTGTGCCAACTTAATAAACTGGGTAACTACTAGCCATATATTGATTATTTATGTAAACTTAATAAACTGGGTAACTACTGGTCATATATTGAATAATTATGTAAACTTAATAAACTGGGTAACTACTGGTCATATATTGAATAATTATGCCAACTTAATAAACTGGGTAACTACTGGTTATATATTGAATAATTATGCCAACTTAATAAACTGGGTAACTACTGACTACATATTATTCATTCAAGTTTACTTAATAAACTGGGTTACTACTAACTATATATATCTTATAATCATGGGTAACTAAAGATCATGCATTGTCAATATATAAATGTAAACTTAAATAAACTTGATCAGTATTGACCAGGTATTATAATGTCAACTTAACCTGGATAACAACTGACCAAGTCTTAAATAATCATGCAACTTTCATTAACAAGGTAACCAACTATTAGTTTATAATGTAAACTTAATAAACTGGTTAACTATTGACCAGGTTGTGGCGTGTCATAAATCATAAACGACATTAATATGATACAAATGTATATCAAATGGGAATACTTAGATAAAGAAAAAAAAAGAATTTTCTGATAAGTTTTGCTCAAAATGCTACATAGTACACAGAAATAATTCCTATAGAAATAAAAAAAATTAAGAATTCTGAAATAAAGAGTTGAGAAAAAAGATCGAAACAATGACAGATTTACGCTGTTTGAAGTCAGTGACCTTTCTCGAGCTAGAGACAACAAAAGGGGTGGGGTTTAAAGATTCCGCTTTGCATTATACCCGAGCCAACTTGTATACCAATGCCAGCTTTACTTGCAATTTCTGTTTGAAGGCTGTTTCATGTAACGGGCTATTTCATTGGATAGTAAAACAATGCATGTTTTATGCATGTACAGTGAGACACTAAATAAAACCAAGAATTGTCAGAATTGGAATATGCATGATTTTTTGTAAGGATAAAATCTTTAAAATATAATGTTGCTGATTGAAAAGGACATTAAATTTTACTATCATATTTATTATATTTTGGTTTTTTTGTTTGTTTTTTTTTTTAAATAAATGTTATGATTTTAAATTTTTGCGAATCTTGACAAAACTTTTTTTGGTTAAGGATGAAAGAAATCCTTCAAACATTAATTAAAAATTGCATACAAGTTGGCAACGGTACAAAGTTGGGTACAAGTGGGTATACAGTATGGGAGTGTATTTGGTGAGAGTGCACACCAAGCTTACTTTTAAAATGACCTGCTGTTCATTGTCCACCTCCTGAAGATAACACGGTGCTTCCTTCATAATCAATAATAACATAACAATTTCACTAACACAGTGCAGTGCTTCCTTCATAATTAATATATAAATTACAAATATGACCCGATGCTTCCTTCATAATCAATAATAACATAACAATTTCACTAACACAGTGCAGTGCTTCCTTCATTAAATCAATATAAAAATAACAAATATGACCCGATGCTTCCTTCATAATCAATAATAACATAACAATTTCACTAACACAGTGCAGTGCTTCCTTCATTAAATCAATATAAAAATAACAAATATGACCCGATGCTTCCTTCATAATCAATAATAACATAACAATTTCACTAACACAGTGCAGTGCTTCCTTCATCAATCAATATATAAATTACAAATATGACCCGATGCTTCCTTCATAATCAATAAAAAATTTACAATTTCACTAACACAGTGCAGTGCTTCCTTCATTTTTAATATATAAATTACAAAATATGACCCAATGCTTCCTTCATAATCAATAATAACATAACAATTTCACTAACACAGTGCAGTGCTTCCTTCATTAAATCAATATAAAAATAACAAATATGACCCGATGCTTCCTTCATAATCAATAATAACATAACAATTTCACTAACACAGTGCAGTGCTTCCTTCATTAATCAATATATAAATTGCAAATATGACCCGATGCTTCCTTCATAATCAATAATAACATAACAATTTCACTAACACAGTGCAGTGCTTCCTTCATTAATCAATATATAAATTACAAATATGACCCGATGCTCATAATCAATATAAACTTTACAATTTCATTAACACAGTGCAGTGCTTCCTTCATAACCAAACATAACATTATAAATAAGATTCTTTGCTTATTTCATTGCCCCAGTGCTTCCTTCATAATCAATAATAACATTACAAATCTGATTCTTTGCATATTTCATCACCCCAGTGCTTCCTTCATAATCAATAATAACTGCACTGGTTGCATGTGTAAAATCAGTTTGCACCGGCATGCAAGAGGTATATAATAACATTATCTTTACGATCAAATGCTTCAGTATTTATCAATCAATAATATCATAATATGTATATAATATCATAATATGTATCACTCTCTATATACATGTACTATGTATTCTGTATTGCAACACACATCATGATTGTTGCTTCTATTGTAAGCATTGAATTTCATAAAACTTGCTATGCAATCTCAACAGCTATCTCTAGCAGAAACCCTTCTTAACCCAAACCACTATCTCTATCAGCAATCTTCTAAATCTCAACAGCTATCTGCAACAACAGCTCTCTTTAATCTCAATTGCTTTCTCTGATTTCAACTCTCTGCAATCTTGACAGCAACCTCTGCAATCTCTGACAGCAATAGTTTCAATCTCAACAGCTATGTCATGCAGCATCTTTGTACAATCTCAACAGCTCCCTCTAACAGTAACTTTCTTCACTCTCAAAACAGTTTTCTTCAACTACAACTCTTTGCAACCCATGCTGCTATCAGCAATCTGTTCTATCTCAACAGCCGTCTCTAAAACAAATCTCTTAAATTTCAACACCTATCTCTAACAGCAACTCCTCCAAGCTTAACAGCTGTCTCTAACAGCAACTTCTTCAATCACAAGAACCATCTCTTCAATTTCAACATCCATCTCTTCAATTTCAACATCCATCTCTTCAATTTCAACAACCACCTCTTCAATTTCAACACCCATCTCTAACAGCAATCCCTCCAAGCTTTACAGCTTTCTCTAATTGCAACTCTCTTTAACCTATATATCTATCATAAAATTAGAACCAGAGTATGCCAAAACATTAAAATAAAATCTATATGTCCACACCTCTTAACTTTGACCCTATTTTTTTTTTCCTTCCACAACTAATGTTGCACCCTGCCCCCACTACCCATAACTTCAATCCTTTATTTCAAAATATACTTGTATTTATGAATAAAATTGTTCCATTGTCTATACAAATCCAATCCTTACACTAAACTAGAAATGTGTCCATAGGACACGGATGCCCCCACACGCCACTGTTCTGTCAATCTTATGACTCTAGGTCAAATATTTTTTGGACTACATGTGCCACAAGTTGAAAACTAAAAATCAACAAAGGGCCATAATTCTGTTAAATTTGGTCGCAGCAAAAATTCCTTCTTTAACTACCATCTACACATTAAGGTTGTTAATCCCTGGAAGTTTAAGCAAATCTGCCATCCGGTTTAAGAGGAGTTGCGTTCACAAAATTTCTACATAGTATATAATGAAAAAATCAACAAAGGGCCATAATTCTGTTAAATTTGGTTGCAGCAAAAATTCCTTCCTGTACTACCATCTACACATTAAGGTTGTTCATCCCTGTAAGTTTAAGCAAAGTCTGATCTGCCATCCGGTTTAAGAGGAGTTGCGTTCACAAAATTTCTACATAGTATATAGTGAAAAAATCAACAAAGGGCCATAATTCTGTTAAATTTGGTCGCAGCAAAAATTCCTTCCTTTACTACCCTCTACACATTAAGGTTGTTCATCCCTGTAAGTTTAAGCAAGATCTGCCATCCGGTTTAAGAGGAGTTGCATTCACAAAATTTCTACATAGTATATAGTAAAAAAATCAACAAAGGGCCATAATTCTGTAAAATTTGGTCGCAGCAAAAATTCTTTCCTTTACTACCATCTACACCTTAAGGTTGTTCATCCCTGTAAGTTGAAGCAAAATCTGCCATCAGGTTTAAGAGGAGTTGCGTTCACAAAATTTCTACATAGTATATAGTGAAAAAATCAACAAAGGGCCATAATTCTGTTAAATTTTGTCGCAGCAAAAATTCCTTCCTTTACTACCATCTACACATTAAGGTTGTTCATCCCTGTAAGTTTAAGCAAAATCTGCCATCCGGTTTAAGAGGAGTTGCGTTCACAAAATTTCTACATAGTATCTAGTGAAAAAATCAACAAAGGGCCATAATTCTGTTAAATTTGGTCGCAGCAAAAATTCCTTCCTTTACTACCATCTACACATTAAGGTTGTTCATCCCTGTAAGTTTAAGCAAAATCTGCCATCCGGTTTAAGAGGAGTTGCGTTCACAAGATTTCGGGACGGACGGACGGACGGACATACGGATTGACGGACGGACAAGTGCAACGCTATATGCTCCCACATTGTGGGGGCATAACAATAAAGGTCACAAAAAGGTGTAAGTTACACAAATACATTTATCAATTCACTAAAACACATTGAACATAGATATAAACACATAAACTGTGTATCATAATCATTAACAGAGAATTTAAGAGCTAGATTTGTAAATACTTTTCAGCCAATAAACAATATATATCAAAGATCAGCCTCCTTGTGTACTTGAGTAGAACCACTAACATTCTGTAAACTATCTGGATAGCTTCCTCACGTTAAAGAATCCAAAGTCCCTGTAGGGATTTGAACCCACAGCAATGAAGGGCAAACACATGTGTAGTTCGAAGTCAACTCGGACAAGGACGCCCCTCATATATAAAAAATAAGACCTGTTTATAGTGAGAAAGAAGCACGTTTTCTTAAACACATTTATAGTGTAACAATATCATTAAGAATGCTATATCGCAATGTTTGTATAATGCAAATGATGTCAAGAAAAAATATATACACAACTGTGCAATACCATTTTTACGGAGTCACAAAAGCTGAACGGGTATGTGATAATATAGATTAAAATACATATCAATGTTGCAACACTATTATCTTATATTTTTTCAAAAAGCAAAACACCACAAAGATTACAACTTTTAAGGATACTGGTCACGGTATGTTCACAAAATACTGAGGGGAAAAGAATTGTTTATACTTCATTTGTTATAATTAGTGTCCATAATCATGGCCTTCTTTCCCTAAATTAATGAAGTGGCCAATTTAGCCTTTCTGATTTGTGTGAAACCAGCACATTTTTTTTTCTTTGAAATTACAAAGTTTTTGCATAACTTTCCTTAAAATTGTGACTTACTTAAAATGTTTAAATAACTTTTGTAATACTGTTTTGATTCAGCAATCAAAGAAATTTTTGATTGTGAAAGTGGCATTTCTTAAAGTGGAAAAGCTGGCATTTTAGAATTGTGAAGGGGAAAGTTCCTCAAATTGTGAAGGCCCCCGATATTATAACTATAGTTAAAAGTCAGCCCTATACAGTATATCGTTCTCTATGTCACGCTCATATTTCAAAGTCATGGTCAACTGAACAAACAACTACAGAATATATTTAATTCAGAGTCTTTACTTTTTCCCTTCTCCCAAAGATTCAATATAAAAATATGAAAACTTATTTCTATTCTATAAGAAGTGATCACACAAAAAGTAGACACCTGACTTTAGAGAAGAAAATTGTTATGTTAGTTTGTTAATATATTCACAATCAAAAACAACACAATTATTATCCACAAGCAAACATAGAAGCCCTGTCAAAACGATACAAAATACAGAAAAAATAAAATTATTATAAAACTTGCTGTTCAATTTCAACAAGGATAATAAGAAGCAACGGACTTCCACAAAATTACTAAAAATATATAAAACACGCTTAAAACGTCTACCATGAGCTGCAAGAAAAAGATTTTTTTATCAGATTTAAGCAAAAAAGGGAGGTAAATTGTTCTGATTATCAGTGATTATTTAAAAATATATAAGGAAGAAAAATTGAATGCAAAGAAATGAAATGTAAAGTACCTTTTTGATTTTTTTAATTTCGTCAGTTTCATCTTCTACGGTATGATTGGACACTCGGTCTTTTTTGAACTTCTGAAGCTGAAAAGATACAATCATTCTCATATGTTATAAGACTAAAATACTGTTAAAAGACTTAAAATGTACACAAAATAGTTAATTAACATTATAAACATGTGAACATACTACATAAATTAATTATAGATAAAATGTCAGAAAACAACAGTAAAGACTGAAATGTCTACCTCAGCTTTGAGTTTTTTAACTTCAGTAGCAAGCTCTTCTGTTTGTTGAACATAGTGCCATTTTGCTTGCCTTTCACTCTCCAGAATCTGTATAACATGAAGATGTTTCTGTTCAAGTTCTTCCTTCTGCTCGAGAACTTTACTGTAACTGTAAAAATGAACACATTTCAGATTAAACTGTTGCTTTAAAATGTTAAGACTTCAAAAAAATGTTATACAATGTAGCTGTAAAATGCTGGATTTTTAAAATAATATTGTAGCTGTTAAATAATGAAATTTTCAAGTTATTATGTAGCTGAGAACCTTACTGTAACTGTAAAAAAATAAAAAGTTTCAAATTAAACTGTTCATTAAAATGGTAAGACTTCAGATAATATTTCAGCTGTAAAATACTGAATTTTTAAAACTATATTGTAGCTGTTAACCATGAAATTTTAAAATTATATCTAGTAGCCGTTACATGATGCTGTGAAAATTCAAACATAACACTGTAGCTGTTAAATAAACAAATCTTATATTATAAAAACAGCTGTAAAATAAACAAATTTCATATTATACTGTAGCTGTTAAATTAAGATATGTAGCTGTAAAATTATTAAACTTTCATATTATACTGTAGTTGTAAAATTAACACATTTGCTATTGTATTGGCTGTTACATGAACACATTCAATATTTTACTGTAAACATATATTATTTACTGTAAATTGTAGCTGTAAAATGAATACATTTAATTTTTCAACTAAATACTGTACTGTTGCTGGAAAATGATCAAACATTCCATTTCATTGAGATCTACAATTAAAATGATCAAATTGCATTTAACACTTGATAAAAAATATGTTCAGTAGACTCTAATTTTCATATCAACTTTAACAGTTTAAAACTAAAAAAAAAATCAAACTTTCACATCATACTGTAGATTTACTGCTATGAAACGATCAATATTAGATCTTATCACAATTCATCAAAGAGTTTTATATTCAGTGGTGTTCAAACTGTAGGCTAGCTATTTTTTTCTAAGGCTAGCTTGTCTTGGAGGCGCTGTAAAAACAATCAAGCAAATGGCGTACTTGTGAAAAAGGGACGTCACTGCGTATGTAATATAACTATGAGGGACGTTGGAATAACTATACAAAAGATTATCGATGATAGATACGCCTCCCGCATACGTAAGCCATATTTGTATGCGATCTATCTAAATAAACAATATAACAACACGTATATTAACTACCTCTACTGGTTACCAGGCTGCATAATATAGTTTTAAAATGATCAAATTTGAATTAGTTTAGCTTTGAAATTGTCAAACAATTGTCCGATGCTTATAGATGATGCTCCATTTGAGTCTCTTTCAGAGACACCCTTTATACAGAAGTAGATCTGCTGCATGTTTTCAATATTAAAATAAAAATAAACAAGAGCCATGTTCACATGGCCATCCCCCGCCGAATGTGTTTGCTCATTGAAAGAATGTATATGTAGTAGAGCAGAATAATTCAATTTTAAGAGGTCTTTTGGTAATGAAAACTGATGGCTGAAGTGATTACAGATTTGAAACCTAGGTGAATACTGATGGCTGAAAATAACAAAGGGCAATAACTGAAAAATAATGCAGGGTAGTTTATCATTGTTGTGTGCTGCACTCCTTCTCAATGAGATCTATCCACCTTTGAAGTTTCAAGTTGATACCTCTAACACTTTTTGAGATAAGCTCCGGACTAAAAGTATGAAAAATAACAAAAGGCAATAACCCAAAAATTATAAAGGGTAGAGTTATCATTCTTGCGCACAGCTTTCCTCCTCAATAAGATAAATCCACCTATCAAGTTTCATGTTAACATCTCAAAGACTTTTTGAGTTATGCACCACTCAGGTGAAACATTAAGTATGAAAAATAACAAAGGGCAATAACTCAAAAATTATGATGGGTAGAGTTATCACTCTTGTGAACTGCCATCTCATGAGTGAGATATATCCACCTATGAAGTTTCATGTTGATATCTCAAAGGCTTTGTAGTTATGCTCTGGACAAAACTTAAGTTTGAAAAATAACAAAGGGCAATAACTCAAAAATTATCAAGGGTAGTAGAGTTATCATTCTTGTGCGCTGCACTCCTCCTCAATGAGATCTATCCACTTATGAAGTTTCAAGTTGATACTTCAAATACTTTTTGAGATATGCTCCGGACAAAAATCTCGGACGGAAGGATGGACGGACGGACGGAAGGACGGACGGACGGAGACTATTTCTATATCCCCCGCCGCCTTTCGGCGGGGAATAAAAAACTGCCTCGCAATTCGTCACTAAGTGTTCAGCGGAGCTATGCTCGCACAATGTACTAGCAGTTTTACTGAAACCTATATTTCCCTTTTTTTCTGACGAACTGGACATGGCAATGTTCTGACTGCACTAAACAAATTTTGTGATTCTTACCTTGCTCTTCGTATTGCGTCGATCCAGGCGTTACATTCCGATTCCGTGTCTGTTCGCAATTCATAATTCCTCTGTCCTTCCGCTTTGTATGTTATGTTGAATATGTACTGCAAATAGAAATATAACTTAGGCTTATCTTATGCCAAAGAAATTACAAATTAATATACAAAACAAGCATTGCCTTGTTTACTTAGTAACCAAATGGACATTATGTCTTGGTCTGAAGTTTAAAGCCGTCGGCATGGGACAACTAATTAACTCATAATATAAGTTTCAAAACAAGTACGATTCTTATAAGTACAGATTTTGAAACAATTACTAGTATTTAAATATGTACGAAAATTTAAAACTGAATTTGAGTTTGTATTTCATAATGTTTCAGTAGTTTTAAAAGCTGTTGTTTTCCTTCATTCATTGCACAATTCAATCTTCGACTGAGAAAAATAAAAAATAAATGAGCCGTGTCATGACAAAACCAACATAGTGCGTTTGCGACCAGCATGGATCCAGACCAGCCTGCGCGTCCGCGCAGTCTGATCAGGATCCATGCTGTTCGCTTACAAACCCTATAGCAAGTAGAGAAACTGATAGCGAACAGCATGGATCCTGACCAGACTGCGCGGATGCGCAGGCTGGTCTGGATCCATGCTGGTCGCAAACGCACTATGATGGTTTTGTCGTGACGCGGCACAAATACGTAAACCATGCTTTGTACAGTGATAATTTTGTCTTCAATATTCTGTACAGTGTTAGAAGATATATGTGAATCAGGAATCATATGTAATAATGTTCAATACAATTCTATCAAAATGCGCATAAACAATGACAAAAAAACATTAGTTCACAAATAATGTATTGAAATGAAGAGACATAATGCGGAAAAATTGATTGAAAAAATGTTTTCAAAATAAGGTACCTTTTTACTAATGAACCAGTGGTTTCCAATTAGAGAACTTACAGCTATTAATTTCATACACATACTAAGGCATAAACATATTCAGGATTAAATGATTTTCTGACCAAATATTAGATCTATACTTATTTCTTACGTTAATGCGTAGCGTTATTTAGGAGCTGATTGTAATCAGATTGTCACTGTTGTTAAATACGTTCACAATAACATATTAGCAATAACATAATTTGTTAAAGAACCATTAATTTTGCTAAACATTTTCACAATTAGTTAAAATGTTGATGAAACATTATTTTCCCAAATATGCTCGCAATAAGATAATATGTTAACGAGCCATTAGTTTTCCCAAACATGTTCACAATTAGTTAATATGTTGATGTAACATTATTTACCCAAATATTCTCGCAATAAGATAATATGTTAACGAGTCATTAGTTTTCCCAAACATGTTCACAATTAGTTAAAATGTTGATGAAACATTATTTTCCCAAATATGCTCGCAATAAGATAATATGTTAACGAGTCATTAGTTTTCCCAAACATGTTCACAATTATAATATTATAATATGTTGATGTAACATTATTTACCCAAATATTCTCGCAATAAGATAATATGTTAACGAGTCATTAGTTTTCCCAAACATGTTCACAATTAGTTAAAATACTGATGAAACTTTATTTTCCCAAATATGCTTGCAATTAGATAATTTGCTGATGAAACATTAGTCTTACCAACTATAGACACTATTAGAGAACATACCTCGATGTTATAAAACCTTTTTTCTGAGTTCTGTCTCGAATCTCAGAATTTTCATTGGTCAATATACAACCTGAGCTCTGACCAATCAAACAGCTAGCTAAGATCTGAGTTTAAGTATATACGAGAATATTTTTTATAACCTCCAGCCCAGGTTTCTGAGTAAGCTCAATCCTCAACTGTGTTGAAAATACAAAATCACGCTTCAAAATCAAGAGTTGGCAATAATCTGTTAAATTTAAATGTCGTTTATGATTGCTTCTACATAATTTGAAGTTATGCTACTTCCGCTTGTTATTCAATTATTTCCCCTCAATCTGTGTTGTTTAAATTTGTAAGAATATGTACTGACATTATAAAAATACTACATAGGATGTTTTGTATAGACTCGCGCTTTTAAAACGAACAAAAACGGCATAAAAACCAACGTGATCATTTCATTCAATTTATATTTAACTTAGTTGATAAAAAATATGTTTAGACCAAACAAAAATATCATGTGTAGATCTTCTCCAGCCGACATGCCTTGAATTAGAATGTTACTTTAGAAAATAGACACCATTTAATAAAATATTTTCGCCCATTTACCTTGTCAACAATACTTTCATAAAGTAAACTTTGAACACGTTTCTGGCTATTTCTACAAGCTTAGATCATACAAGGAACTTTAGACCATATTCATTATTCAGTGTAGTTTAACACCCAATGGCTTATCAATTTGTTTTGATTAGTCAATGCAATGGTATTCATTGCTAAGTCTAGTAACGTCTGACATATACAACAAAGTAACAATTTTAAACATGTACTCCTTAACCAAGCTTACTTCAAGCTTACTTCAAGCTTACTTCAAGCCAAAATTTAATGTATCAAACATAACACATTTCTTGGATATCTTTTGATTTTTAAATTGTATACGGGCATTTATAATAGAAATTCTTAAGTAATTGATTTCTATATAAAGTATGTTTGTTAATCTAAGAATCATCGTCCTTCTTGGACATGTACTGTATTATACTATATATGGTCACACTATCAACTGTATTACTGTGAAATAGAAATGCTAATTTGAGTTAAGTTGAATTTGCTTTATAACTAAACAACTATATTCTACTTAAAAGTCAGTCTCGAAAAAATATTAGAGGTATTAAGCAATTTATATAAATTTCTGTTAGATTATCCTATCAATGAGAGATATCGATATCCTCCCTACAAGCAGATGATTCAGTGGATTATATGAATATTTTATTGTTGTATTTTCGTATGATTCAGTGGTTTATATAAATATTTTGTTGTTGTATTTTTCTGATTCAGTGGTTTATCTGAATTTTTTACTTTCATGTTTTTTAGTATTATTCTGTTGTTTATATGAATATTTTATAATTAAATGTTTGTATTATTCAGTGGTTTAACTGAAGGTCCACCTCATACAGTAACAGCTACGGACAATCGATACAACTGAATACAAGATCTGCTTCTCGGGAAATTGAGCAATACAACAACTGATAAGAACCTGCTAAAATGAAATTGCATAATTTATTTAAAGACTACAATAATGCGTTTCTGTTAAACGGGATTACTTTGAATAGTTAAAGTATACATATTATTATCGTTTGTCTGAAAATGCGCCTTTGTAGAGCTCTGAGGACGACCCAACCCCCTCGCCATATAATAAATTCCTTGCCATATAATAAATTCATTGCCGTATGATAAATTTCTCGCCGTATGATAAATTCAAACGGTGACGAGTTTGTCATTGCATGACCCATTAAAATTTCTATTATAAAAGAAACACTTTCTAATTTATATTGTATGCATTTTATATAAGATCAGATTTTGTAAATTAGAAGAACAACAAACAGTTTTAGATCTTATCTAAATCATATCAGCCGCGTCGCGACAAAACCAACATAGTGCGTTTGCGACCAGCATGGATCCAGACCAGCCTGCGCATCCGCGCAGTCTGATCAGGATCCATGCTGTTCGCTATCAGTTTCTCTACTTGTAATAGGGTTTGTAAGCGAACAGCATGGATCCTGATCAGACTGCGCGGATGCGCAGGCTGGTCTGGATCCATGCTGGTCGCAAACGCATTGTGTTGGTTTTGTCGTGACGCGGCTCATATCATGTACACACTGTCTTTGAATATAACAATCGAGGTCTTCCCTCTTTATAACAGATTAAAGTACACGTGATCAATCTTGTTTCTTTTTCCAGGGAAACATGTACTTCATAAATGAATAAAAAGAAAATCCATGTAAGTAAATTTATGGAAGATTAACGGTCATCCATCATTTTTTGCGCTTTTATTTGCACAGAAAATTTATATGTTGAATCGTATGTGTCTTGAATAAAATATGTAACGCACCTAAACGTTTATGTTATATGCTAACACAGAAAAAGAAGACACTAATAAAAACACATAATTATGCACGTGGCGTTTTCATTATTTCGCATATAAAAAAAAATAATCTAATTTCAAATAAGTCTGTAAACAAAAACGTAACGTTTTCATTAGCCTGGTCTATTATAAAACGAGCTAATTGTAAAGCAATCGACTGCCGTGGAAGCGTCTCATTCGGGTGACACATATTTATCTACTAAGTTTAGACATACAAACCAGACTATTCCGCTAATAAGTGACAAGTTTACGGTCAGACACGTGTCACATATCTTATTCGTGACATTCATATATAAACGGTTCTTGTGACAGCTCTTGGAATGATCGATCAACCTTCTGTATTCTTTAAATGGACTTGTCCATCTTACAATCCAGGAAAAACGTTCATAAATTTCAAATTAGTAATGACTGAATAGCGAACATGGCAAACCATGATCCGACGGCACGGGTGATCTTCACTGGTCGCACGGATAATACATAAAGGCCAATAATACTGAAGATGTGATAAAAGAATAACTCAAAAAGAATAAGATCATTGTCATAAATGTAACCATTTGCATACTGGGAAAAATGTCGGCTGGTTAAATGCCGTCTGCGTATTTTTTTATTTTAAATTTGAAATTGAATAGAAAATAAAGGGTTACCGTCAAACAGCTCGGTACCAGACAAGACACGCTGGTACCATGGTTTGGTACCAAGTCACAAAGGCAGTTGTGAACTTTCTTAGCAGAATAAGGGTTAATAAGCTAATTCAAGCAGCTAAACCTTTTTGCAAATTTAAACTGAATTTGTGTTAGTGTGCAAGAAAATAGTGTAAATAAGAGTAACAACACTTAAAATGAGTGGAATATATAATGTAGAAATAGCTAAATAGAAAAAATAACGTGATACTTAAGTTAATGTTAATCATTTCAGCATCGCTGTGCTTAACAAAATATGTCCTAATGTAATTGAATATAATTATAAACTTTGAACACGAGTGGTAATTGATTTTTTAATGTTACATTATAGTATATGACACTGTTTTAACTCACACCAACTCTTTTACAGGTATTTAAAAAATGTCAATTTTTGCTAATGAAATTAGCATTTTTTTTAGACAGTAGAATAAGAAGCATTTTATAAGCTAGCTGGACAGTTTCCTAACATTTTATAATTCAATGTTTCTGGCGGTGTTCCATATGATATGATTCTATATTTGTAAATTTAAACAATCGGTGAAAGAAACCGTATAGTGAAATAATAGAAATAAAGTAAGATGTGGAGTGAAAGAAATATCACTGCAAATCATTTTAAAAAGGTAAAGATTACATTACATCTGCTTAGAGAGTGCAGTCGGCAACAAAGTAGATAAAATATTTGTTTGAATTTAATGTGTAATAAAGATTTAAGTGATTAGTTGAAAGAAGAGAAGAGAAAAGAAAAACAAGAGAATGTTAAAAGAGAAGATATCAGAAGAGAAAAGAAGTGAAGAGATGAGAAGAGTAAAGTAGAGAGAAGAGAAGTGAGAAGAGAAGAGAAAATAAGAGAAGTGAGAAGAGAACAGAACAGAAGAGGAGAAGAGAAGAGAAGAGAAAAGAAGAGAAATGAGAAGAGAACAGAACAGAAGAGGAGAAGAGAAGAGAAAAGAAGAGAAGAGAAGAGAAGAGAAGAGAAGAGAAGAGAAAAGAAAGAAAAGAGAAGAGAAAGCGAAAGAGAAGTGAAAGACAAGTGAAAGAGAGGAGAAGAGAAGAGAAAATAACAGAAGAGAAGAGAGAAAAAGGGAAGAGAAGAGAACAGAACAGAAGAGGAGAAGAGAAGAGAATAGAAGAGAAAGAAAAAGAGAAGAGAGGAGAGGAGAGGAGAAGAAAAGAGAAGTATACAAAAACATATTAGTTTGCAGCAAAAACGTGTTGTAAACACTCACAGAAACAAGAATGAGTATTTCAAATTATATCAATTAGTGCTATACGGAATATGTGCGAGCTGTGCGAGCTAATGTCATGCGTAAAAAGTGCTGTTAATACATAAGATAGATCAAAACAAACTTGAAATTACCTCAACCTTGTAATTATTCCATGTCATCTGAAAATAGTCAATAATATTTACAAATTACTTATTTATTATAAATATATATATATATAATTGATGCCATGCTATTTACATGTACATAATAAAAAAAATCTTTAAACTCGAATACATTATTTGACAAATGGAAATCCATTATTAACTTATCAACCCTTTCCCTCCTGAAAATAGAAGTAATTTGCTTTTGCCACCCTCAAAGAGCTAGGCTCTATAATGTTGGTAGCTCAAGTTTTACATTTTAATATTGAAATCCGGCAAAAAGTTTAAATGGATGGCAGAATAAATCCGTTTCAAAACAAAAATCAGCAGCCCTATAGTTATATCTTTCACTGCTTAGGTTTTATTCGTGTGCTTTGACTTAAAACGAAAATGATCTTTTTTTCTTCTAGTTTGGAAATTTCCTTTTAAACTGCTGAAACTCTGATAATAAAAATCAACCTATTGTCTTAATAATGTTGGTATTTTTATCATATTATTTAATCAGCCAAGCTGCCTTTACCTTTGTAACGTAAACAGAGAAAACGTGGCAACTTTACGTCGTATATATAGCACTTAATACTATGTCAAAAACTGCAATGTCCAAACTTACGTTCAATTGTTTAATCGAACAACAAATTAAACTACGAATGAATTGTCTTAAACGGAAATTTTCGATCGTTATCATCTTATAAAACAGCTGCCTAAACCTCTCTCTTTCTCACTCTCCCGCTCTCTCAGACATTAAACAAAGCAAAGAGATTAGCGGAAAATTATTGCTTTAGCAAGATTTAAATTGTTTGAGGAGACAAGGAATTCCTGTAAAGTGTACTAATCTCACAATGGTAGAATATCGATGTTTTCCAGAACTTATCTATCCCCCCTTCACTATCAGAATGGCCGTTGATCCCCTACAATATCAGACTGTCGATGATGTAGACACGTTACACAACTTAAAAATCCTAAGAGAGAGAGAGAGAGGGGGGATAGAGAAAAGAGAGGCTTACGTTATTGAAGACTCGTGCATAGTTAATTGTGATGTATGGTTTTGTGAGATGTTTTGGTTTTTACTGGGAGAAAAGTGACACGAACGTCTGTTATCTGTGCAAATATGCTTCTAACCTTTTATGCGCGGATCAATGTTAAAATAATGCTTTCTTAACTTCACCTTTAATAAGATGGTTTGGCGGTTGACTCTCGCTACCAGTACTAGTATAGAGCCGGGTAGACGGGCCTGTATTTCTTGTAGACTGACCAGGCTTTGCACTAGAGGTTGACTACCTATTAATATTCATCTTAATATCCACAGAATGGACAATTCCAAAAATTGAAGCTGGACAAGACCATTAAAAAAAATTCAGCGGGATAATGGTTAAAAAAAACAACATTCTGTTAAAGTAAAATTCGGCACTTTTCTTTTCCAGTTTAAATAAAATACGCTTATAATACGGGTTACATTCTTCTTTGAAGGAAGCTGGGGTTTTTTTTGCGCTGCTGTTGTCATATGTAGTGTTATTGTTTGTTTTGTTCTTATTTTTTATTGTTATGTGTGTGTTGTTTTCTTTCTTGTTTATTGTGCATTCTATATGACTACTGTTTGCAAAAAGAAAAAAAACGTTTGGGCATAAAATCAGATGTAACATATCGTGGAGGATTTCATTTTTTTAGTAGTTTATAATAAAGAAAATCAGTTTTTCGAATTTATAAAACCATAAAAATAAGTAAGAAAATATTTCTGATAAGGAGTAAGGGCACTTTTGTTACTTGTTAGAGAGTAAATATATTGTTAATTGCGAAAGACTTCTATATTTGACACCTCCATGAACCTTTCTTAAGATGAAGTATGAAGTATGTATATGAGCCGCGTCATGACAAAACCAACATAATGGGTTTGCGACCAGCATGGATCCAGACCAGCCTGCGTATCCGCGCAGTCTGATCAGGATCCATGCTGTTCGCTATCAGTTTCTCTACTTGTTAAAGAGATGTAAGCGAACAGCATGGATCCTGATCAGACTGCGCGGATGCGCAGGCTGGTCTGGAACCATGCTGGTCGCAAACCTATTATGTTGGTTTTGTCGTGACGCGGCTCATATGGTCATTACCATGCCTCTTCTTCTCTGTTGGTCGTTATTTTTTTAACCTTACCCTGCTATTTTTTCTAAAATAGACTTTCCAGCTTCTAATTTTAGAACTGTCTATTATCAATTTAGGGGATTTTTACTGATTTTTTTTTATTGGATTTATTTGATGAAAATTTAAAAGTTATAGAGCCGGGTCAAACTGCACGAGTGGCAAGTGGCAAAGGCTTATCACTGTGGGTTCCAGGAGAAAAAAATCAATAAAGACGTCGATACTGACCAGACTGTGGTATTGATTTGAATGGTATAGTAGTAAGCTATTTTTATACGTAATATACCAGAAAGCACTGTAGGAGCACATTTGTCTCGGAGCACATTTGTCTTACGTAAGACCAATGCGGTCGCATTTGTCCCACATGAGACAAATGGCACCTCAAATGTCTACCCCAAAAAACTCATTTGTGTGACAAATGTGCTCCGATCAAGTTTTTTAAGGGACAAGAAAGCACATTTGTCTCATGAGTTTTTAAGGGACAAGAAAGCACATTTGTCTCATGTCATTTTTTATGAATTATTTGTCACATTATTCCCACGGCAGAAATTCTTTTTTAGAATTGAGGTTCGCCGTTTTACCTCATGTCAAGTGTAATCATCATAGGTTTGCTTATGCTTTCTTTATGAAAACCTATAGTGAACTATTAATCATAATATCTCTAATTCAAGTAATTGATTGGCTTAACCTGAAGGCGTACACTGAAACAAACTAAATCCCGTTCACGATGGTACAATGGTGACAGCGCGGTGGCACGATGTTACGTTGATGAAAACGCGATGGTGCGATGGTGAAAACATAATGGTACGAACGTGAAACAACGACTGTACGATGGTGAAACAACGATTGTACGATGGTGAAACAATGAAGGTTCGATGATGAAAACGTGATGATACTATGGTGAAAGACGATGTTACGATGGCGAAAATACGATGGTACGATATGATGAAACTGCGATGGCATGATGATGATTATTTTCTCTATCGTGTCATCGCATCATCATGATTTCACCATCGTGTCATCGTGTTTTAATCATCGTACCATCTCAATTTCACCTTTGTACCATTACGCATAGCTGTTCAGGGAGTCAAAATGTTACTTATGTCCAAACGGAACACCGTAATCGGTTGATATTGAATGATACAATATCGTGACTCGTTTCGCATCTTGCCGAAATCTCGCATCTCGCTTCGCATCTAGTTCGTGAGACAAAAAATTGATTCCAGGTCATATACCGCTAAGTAGTATTCCCTTCATAGTCTACATAAAATCACTTAAAGGCCCATTATGCCTGAGAAATGCTTTTATTTGTATTCCTTAAAAGTTTGTATTTTTGGTATACTTTTATAGCTCAAAAAAGTTACTCATTGGCTAATTACCTAAAGCATTTTTCATCTGCTGCTTTTTGCAGTTTGTACAGTTGAAGTGGTTTAGAATTTTGTATTGAAGTCAAAATACTACATTTTTTTATGACGCATTATTTCACATTTATCGCGAATTTCTTTAGATTACAAGCATATAACTTCCTCAGAAATCATTATTTGAATATTAATAATTTCATACTTGCTCTATCTAAAGGAGTAAAAATTTATTCATTTCTGAAACCTCGTGGTACGGGATAATTCGACGAGATCTCGTGTTACAATTTCGTGCCTCGCTTCGTGTCTCATCGGAATGTCGCGTCTCGCACGATTTTGAGTCGTCCGATATTCCATAATTATAGGGATAGAAAAGGATTACGTTATGAAACCCCATAGATTGTTTGTAATTTTTGGTTTTTACATGACGGAGAAAGTCACGAACATTTATCTGTGAAAATGCTCAATTTTTACAATCATAATAATTTCTTAAACTTACCTTTAATAAATGGTTTCTTACTTTTTTCCATAAGATATCTTAAGGGCCTCCGTGACCGATTTGACTAATTAAAAATATTCACTTAAATACACGAGGACAATCCAAAATTGAACTGGCAGATAAGGAATCACTGGTAATGTCCAAACGAAAAAACATTCTGCAAGCGCACTTTCTCTTCCGTGGAAATAATAGTTATATCGGCCTCCCACTTTAAAAGGGGGTTTTTTGCGCTGCTGTTGTAAATTATGTATTGTATGTTCTTTTAATGCTATGTTGATTGTTACTTGTTTTTTGCTTCTAAGAACTATTTTCAGGTGGGGCATAAAATAAATTCAAAAACTTTAAGAGTTAAATAAAGTATCACAATTTATAAACCGAAAATAACTAAGAATATTTGCTGATAAGGGTTTAGGTTTTGGTATGCTATTTGAGATAATTTATTGTGAATGCGAAAGGGAATTCTATATTTAAATATCATGAACTTCTAATTGAAGTATGGAAGATGAAGTTTATATGATCTGATTCATATAACTTTTAGTATGTAATAATGTAAAATGAACAAGGGCTGGTTTCCGGGTCGAACCCGTACAGGCCAATTTTAGAACTTCTATTACTTTTTTAATGATTTTTTATGGATATATGTGAAAATAGAAATGAGCCGGGTCCACTAGTAGTGCAGCGAAACATCTGTTATTCCAAGAACGCAAATAATGAATAATTTAATAAACACATGTCGATATTGTAAAGATATAGTAGTGCTATATACGTAATATGCCCACAAAGCACATATAGGTTAATCATAACAAACTCAAATATTGTTGTAATAGGCAGAGATAAAATTATCCTGGTAATACATGCTTTAGCTTTCTGATTTATTTATTTATTTATTATTTATTCGTTTATTTATTTTTTATCTGTTTAACTATTTTTATTATATATTTACATATTTGTAATTATTTATTTTTTTATTTTATGTTATCTTATCTTATTTACTTGTTTATTTATTTATTTTTTATTTTTTTTTTATTTTT